TGACTTCTCGTATCTTCAGGTCAATTCTACTATAGAGATATGAGATCTATGTGATAACCTATTGTATTGTAATGTAAAACAGTGTTCAAGAACTTGTCTGACCTGATTAAATTCATTACAAATATAGCATTTTGCTTCTGCAACTACTTTCCACTGCAGCCATATTTGATGACTAATTACACGCACTGAGTGACCATGCTTCGAATCTCAAAAGAGACATGATTTCCTTCAAGACTGCTGATACGCCTTTTTGACAAATGCCAGCTAGCACGAAACCAAAATACAAGGCTTCCTTCCGACTGCCTTTGATCAGCTAACACCATGTAAATGCAGTTAGACCAATACCTTATTCGACTGTCTTCCCAGATACGTAGATACATCTACTTACCGGTCAAAGGATCAGTAATTAGTTGGATATCTAACATCCACCACCACCTGTAGCCTAGCATAATTTGAAAGAGACATGTCCTGTCTGATTGTTCGACACTAAACATATCTGCATTGCAATATATCATTCAATTTCTAATGGTTTCAGTGTACCACTAAAGAAGTAACTTAAATTTGCACCTTTTGCTGATCTGACCGACAACAATAGGTTCATCAAACTGCCTTTAGTTTTATTCAAGACTAGTTTTAAGTTTAACAAAAATATTGAATGATTAGAATCGGTGTTAGTTTACAACTAACTGGGCAGATTTCCATTTTTATATAATCAAGTTTCTTTAGATAACAGTAATGACTGTTATAAGAATAAAACTTGGGCACTGTGGTAGAGGGTAATTCCATTATGGGTAAATTTTATTTTGATAAAGTCTCACAGTGTTATCAGTAAATATTACTGTATAACACTGTGAGACTTTATCAAAATAAAATTTACCCATAATGGAGTAATGACTGTTCGTAATTGTTAAAGAAATATATGTGTGAGACGAAAATGTCACGATTACAAAAACAATATTAAGCGTTAAACGTCTTACAAAATTTGGAAAACTGTACTCATTTTGTTATCAGATGGGTCGGATAACTAATGAGTGTCTGTGTGTAGTCTCAAGCAGAAATGAGAAAAAACTCATCATCATAGAACATTTCAACAGCGCTAATGTTGTCAGGAAAAACATAGTGAGTTCAGCAACAATAATCAGAAAAATCAATAATGAATATATTTCAATTTGTAGGATCTCATTTAACTCCGGAAAAGCCGATATGATTAACACAGTCAGCGGTAACCTTTCATTAGTCAGAAAGTTATGTATAATTTATTGTTGTTTAAAGTTTCGTTTTTGTAGGAAAGTATTTTAATTGTTCATTGAAGTCATTCTACCCAGCTTACTGATATTATTTTCAGTTTTGTATTCTAGTTTGTCTGCTCATCAAATACATTTCGATTCACACATAAATTTGATTCCATTTTTGCACATTGTCTTTTATTCATAACTCCAGTGAGTAACTACAAAAAATGTTATGTGGTTCAGTAAATAAGCTTGGCAGTAAATAACAACATTTGAAACTTCTTAAATTTGTCTATCCTATAAATTAAGCTTTACTATCACCATAAAGATTGTTCAGTTGGTACTGTTGTATTATTGTTTTAAACACAGACAATTAGTGAAGTATTTTCAAATACCAAACTTTCTATGATATTACATCTAACCTAAACATGAACCTTGTTCAGTTTATTCCATACTTGTTTCATTTACTCCCCATCATTAACCATTTTTATATTCTTCGAAACAATTAGTGGTTTGTGACAGTCTTAATTTAAAGCTGTAATTTTACTGAAAATTACATGAATCACACAAAATTATTGGGAGTTAACAGGAACTTCTATATTTCTGAACTCTGAAAGAATTATATATTCACACTAGAAAACAGGAAGATTTTATCAAAATTAGAAATAGTATTTTCGAGTTAAACAGTTTCCCACAAGACAGCCGTAGAATTAACTTTAGAGAACTAAGGTGAGTATAACAATTATTTAAAGTATCACCACAGTCCATTTTAAGAATAAGCAATAGAATAGTGAAAAATATTTTGATCTTTAGTACGAAATATCTCTTAACAATAAGATTTTTACTGATACTAAACTCACTATAAAATAGCCATTATCATTCAAAGTAAGTTTAGGTGAAATATGTATTATAAATTTCAAATCCATATGTAATAATTCCTTGTGTTCTAGTTATAGCATAGAACTTCAAGCTTTGAAGTTGTTGTTTCTTACGAGATGAGGTTCTTAGCTTCAAACCCAACCCTCCCTCTTTTCCGCTTTTACAACCGGCTAGTAAACTAGGTGGTTCTTAAGTGCGTCGCATGCCTGTTGAGCATTCTACCATCGGATCACCGACCCTCGAACCAAAACCATAGATGTTAAAAATTTTCTGGAACAACTTGAGCGCTTAGTCTGACTGAATCATTAAGAAACTATTTGAAATAATCGTAGGGTGTTTAGCAGTTTCCGTGAGTGGAGCCAGACACTCTGTAGATTTTTTCTGAGTAATTTCCTATTGAGATATATATTGTTTCACTACCTTTTTCTTATATTAAATTGGAAAATTATCTAACTAAATGTAAAACTAGGTGGTGTGGTGGAGCTTAACCTTAAAATACTAAACATTGGCTCATACAAAAGTATCCTAATAAAGTCTTAACTAATTAAAAGATTAATTATTTAAAACAACACATTATGAACCAGTGATGATTATTGATCAAAAGACAAAGGATATACTTCTTATTTTCCTGAAATACAATGGTATTATTTTTGAGATATTTTTGGACTATTAACCAAATAAATCAACTATTAAGTAGGACATAATTTCGTCCAGCAATCACTAATTATTGCAGTCAGGAACATAATTTTGAAAAGTCATCGTTACATACTGATGGTAGGCAAGACGCATGAATCATTCAAGCTACGGATGAATGCATACTGTTATGCAAACCGCTAAAGTGACTAGACGTAGTGTGGTGATATTTCATATTTTGCAAGTAATCGTAAAACAGTTGCGACAGAAAAAGCAATTTTTCGGTAATTTCCTGGTAAGTGCACACACGTGAAGTGCTATTAAAAATTTCCCTATTTACTTTACATTAGTGAATGAACTTTTTGGGGAAGGTGGTAAATACTGATGTAATATAGTCTTTATTAAAATTACAGTAAGAATAGTGGACAGAACAAAAGATGCCAAATGTGAGCATTTTACTTTTCCAAACATTAAAAAAATGTATTACTTGATGCCATATAGTTATACGTTCTTAGGAGGGTGACTTATATGTTACTAGACTACATAATAAACCATATAAACTTATCCACTGCAACCATCAGAAAATTCTATGCAAACTACAGAGCACTTTCATTTTCTTTTAAACAAATTAACAAAAGTGTATTGTAAGTTTCGGATCAAATTGCATTAATGACAACTTTCAGTTGGATAAACTTGAAGCCAGGAAGACCATAATGATGTGCCAGCAAAAAAAAAATTTTATAAGAAAAGAAAATGAGTTTCCGCTTGATTATTATTTGCATGACTAAAATATTGTCAAATTCAAAGCAGATTATCAATTTCATTAGTTACTATTTACATGAACAAAGTATAACCTTATTTAATTGAATTTTAGATTTTCACTGGGGAGTGCAGGTACATCCAGATGATGAGTCCCAAATAGGACGAAATGTGCATCCTGGATTCCACTGCTAGTCACCATCCACCAATTAAACTATAGCCTTTTATGAATTAAATTATTGCCTTAAAACAAGCAATAACTTATTTGAAAAAATATGGAGCACCTTTGTGATCATAAATATTCATCACAAAATATGAAACATGGCTACCGTAAGAAACATAAATCAGTGAAGTATCTACAGAGGCGTTACACAAAAATTAAAGAATTTTATTAAGCAAAGCACAATGGATAGTCGCTTCGAAGATGACAAGTTGTGTGTGAGGTAAATTTAGGAGTCATCCTAATAGGTGGAAAACATCATTATGTTGACAGTTATAATTAAATAATTGTTCCTAAACTTCTAAACTATCTTCTTTAACTCAAATTAAAGGAAGTTTTGTCTGAACCAGGTCACTTTTTTGCTTATCATATGCTAATGTTTATGAATAATATTCATTTCTTGTTACTGACGTATATTTTTCCAACTATTACAACAAGTAAAATCCAGCTGAAAAAAGTTCATTCGCAACTTTCGAAATGATGCCAGTGATTTCAAGACATCTTTCTGATGTGATACGAAGAGCATCCTACAAGAAATTTAAAAAGAATAACTAAAATACGTGTATTGGTAGCTAACTACTAGGTCGAAATAGATATGCTAATTCACAAGTTAAAATAATTCAGCTAAAACATTCTGTTGAATAAAAGTATTTGTTATATACATGACAATACTAAATTTATGGTCACATCCATCTATAATTCTACATACTTACAAGTTCTCCCTTTTAGTAAACAACTCACAGTTAAATTACGTTCAACTGGAAACTCACTAAGCGTATATGAATCTTCTCCAAATATCAGCAAAATGTTGCTTATCTTCTTGAATGATCGTCTCCATCGTACGTAATTCCTCCAGGAAAGGAATGCCTGTAGCGTGAAGACGGAAATTTAGGATGAGGAAACATGTATCTTTCATCTCCTGGATACATCATTTCATAGGGTTGATTGTACATTCTTTTCCAGTAGACCATTCTTTTCTCAGCGGAACCAGGGTTAAAGTCCTTAAGTCCATCCACCGTCAAACAGCTGAGAAGAAATAAGATGGACAGTACATTCAAGATCATCATTAAAGCTACCGATACGTAGGTAGTAATGTATCAGGTAGGTTTGATGCACTCTATATATGATTGTGGGAGAACTGAAGCAGAATTGTGATTGGATGCTATAAAAGATTAAATGTACGAGTTATCACTAATAGCACCTAGGTCTGAGATGGGAATTTCAGCTTCTGTCAAACTACAGATAAAAATAAGCCAATAATATACAAGTTGGAAAACACGCTGGAAAATTGAACATGGCCATTAACCTGCATTGTTTCGTGAAATTTAAATTAATGAGTGTACAAATTGAATTAAATATATATTAAATGCTTATTTAGCTTGTTATTTTTAGATTTCAACTGTATATTGGGAGCGCGGAATATTTCACTAGTGCGCTACAACAGCAATGAGAAAAAAGGTTAGTCCATATTAAGATCTTATTTACATAATAGGTGCTGTTAATGGGCAAATCTGGTTCGGGCAAAACAAGTATGCGAAGCATCATATTTGCAAACTTTATTGCTCGTGATACCCGCAGACTAGGCCCCACAAGTATATAAGTTTTGTTTATCAATATGTCTGTTATTAGTGGACGTGGAACATACACACTTACGACTTCTTGGGGGGCTGGTTTTAAACTTATGGGACTGTGGAGGGTAAGACTTACACTAAATTAAATGTGGTTTCTCGTAGACAAGACGGGTTTATGGAAAGCTATTTTGTTAACCAAAGGGAAACAATATTCAGAAACGTTGAGGTTCTGATCTATGTTTTCGACATCGAAAGCCGGGAAATTTCGAAAGACCTGGCTTATTATCGTTCTTGTCTAGATGCAGTCAATCAGAATTCTCCCGGCGCAAAAATATTTTGTCTTATTCATAAAACTGACTTAGTCAGTGAAGAAAAAAGAGATGAGGTATGTTCAGTTTTACCCTTTCTTCATGCTTGGTAAACTTATTTTTACCTATATTCTATCTGTTTTAAGTGACTGTATTATTTCGCGTTCTGTCAATGGCACCTTGCAGTTTTATTGAAACCTATAATTTTTTACCCATATAAAATCCTATGTGATATGTTGTTTAAGATTTGATAATTTTATTATTCCTTTCTGTAAGCCAACCTTTAAAACTACTTTGAGTTATAGTCTGGATTACTATTTTAAGATCAGTCAAAGTGGTTTTCATCCATATTAGATGAGTTCATTGCATTTCTGACGTTAATTAGGTGGCTGTGAGTAGTGGTTGCACGGCTGTCTAACTTGCTTTATATAATTTCATTTGTTTCCCATCTACCCAAAGAATCAGGCGTTTCGTAATGTCTCATTAACTTGGCTCATTGGTCCAAGCCCTCAACTTCCAACCATTGGGTCACGGATTCAAAGTGTATCGAAGTTTGAACAGGCGCGTAGAATCACTAAGCTTCACGCAATAGATGTGGCTCATTCCCAAATGCATCGGTTTGCAAGTCGAGTAGCATTTTTCCATAACTGATTCATCAGTTACACTTCATGGCCCCACCTACCCTTATGGCATTAATATCTCTTTTCATTACCTACCTGACATACATCGCGAAACATTATAGGATAAAGTAAATGCTCTTTTGTTTGGAACATCACTACGTGCGAATCTGATTCATTCGGTTCACTGTTTGACCTTTATATTTGTGGTCAAAACACTACATATCTTTGAGTGGTTCTTGAGAAAAGTTGATTGACTGAATTCACACTTTCTGAAAAAGACATACGTAGTTGTGTCTCTAACCGAGAAATATTTGACGTAAAACTTTTCGTAGGTGTGCTTTAGCTTAAATTACTACACTCTAAAAGACCGTGTTAAAGTAGAGAGGGAAAGTGTATATCTGCATTCTGCAATAAACGAGGCCTTTATTTTTTAGAGGACCAGTTGCGGAGACGTCAGTCAGTCAGACTCATCCATCATTATGTGTGTAATGAGGAGTAACATTAGCATCCTTGACAGACACCTTTGGTTGTCTCTACTTTAGACAGTTTTGTGAGGGAGTAGCGTTCCTTGATTTGTATAATGTCCTTTTTCACCACCATGGCTAAACATTGTCATAACCCACCTCATTTGTGGCATTTTCAACTTTCAGGTCATGAAATACATTTTTTTAAAATTTGGTAGATACATTATTCCAAAAGGCATCTAAATGTGGTCATTGCATCTTTGTCCAGTTTTGAAAGCCCTTTGTTTTCTCTACCGTTTTTCCTTACAAACTTCTATATATCAGTAGTTAAGCTGGTTGCTTGTGATTTTTACGAGATTTGTTTCTTTTCCTCCAAACGACGATTAATGATAGGTATTAGTCTAATATTGGAGTATCTCAGATCCTTGTGATATTGCTGCCTTTGTTATTCGTGGTCGAGTCATCAAATTTTACTTCCCTTTAGCTTCCCTTGCCTGTTTTCCTCAGAAGTACAGCCTACATTCAAAACGTAAAATGCAGAGTTTTACTAATTGAGGTTATTTCCAACTTGGCATAAAATTCGGGGTTTGAAAACTCCAGTGTTAATCACGGTTTCAAAATACTAGTAATGCTTACAAAGCTGTAATGATGGGTGGTCCCCATGAAACTGTGTACTTATGAAGATGTTTGGATAATTGGCACTGTCTCAGCTGCTCACACCTTTAAAATCCTTCTTTCATGAGTACTTAAAGAAGAAAAGTGGCTAGTTTTGCGTGGCTGCAAAAACCAGGAGACAGCTTTATTTAGTCACATCACCTACTTAAGGTATTCCGTCTGTAAGGAACCCTGTGCAGAAACTACCGAGAGAGTTTTGCTTTGCCACTCAAGGCAGTCTACTTGAACCCGTGCAGATGTTAAAGATCTTATAGAAGGTTTTAATTTGTAGTAAAAACAGATATTAGTGTCTAATAGAGATGTGTGTCAATGGCTTAATGGTAGGACACTAGCCAACCACGCAAGTGGTCTGGGGTTTGGTTCCTGGCCGGTAATAAGCCGGGTAAAGAGGGAAGGTTGAACGTTTGGCTTGCAGCCCCATCCCTTAAAAAACACCACTGCTACTGAAACTTCGGAGCTCTAGGTTGAAGCCATATGTTCCACTCGAAACGAAAATAAATAAAAAATAGATTTAAACTTAGCCGAATTCCATGTTTCAAGGATTAACTTGTTACCACTGTGGTGTCATTGATAAAGTACTCTGCAGCAGTTCGCTCCGTAAATCTTTACGTCTGTGAGACATGGCCGTTGAATGTGGGAGATAAGAAGAGACTAGCAGTCGTTTCATTTCTATTAGGTGGTCATTAATATTAGGGTTAAACCTAGAAGGAGGAGAAGACGATAAAGTTGTGAAGCAGTATTCATTGTGATGGCTAGGATATATGTTACATATACCATGTTAGCTGACACATTGGATCGGAAAAGATTTGTAAGTGGTCAGGCTAAAAAATGGCATGAATCAATCAAGTCTTTGACTGCTGATTTGAACCACGTAGACTACCTTACTGAAGTCTTCGAGACGCTAAGAACAAATGACAGCAGACTGCTAATAACATGGCTAAAAGTCGTTCTTAACGACACAGATGTATTCACTCTTTGTGATCTCCAAGATCCATCAAATTCTCAAATTCTCGATATGATTATCCATTTTTTCTCTACCTTTATGGGTGCTTTATGAAGTGTAGCAACTTGAACTCTTGAATTTTCTTTTCAATCTCTACGTTGTCAAGTCACTCATGTAAATTTACGCGGTTGTCGCTATGAAAATACATGTTTGTCATGGTTTATTGTTCTCTGTTGTGCCTGTGAAACTTTCATTCTATGTTAAGTTGTGATTGGTGGATTGACAGTAAACATAAGGGCTTTTCAGTTGTTCTCTTTCTCCTTATACCTAGTTCTATTCTCCTCAGCCACATTCCATTTGTCCACTTCCTCTTTATTGCTGTTTACATCTCCTTACACTGTTGTAAGCTAATATTTGTGTTTGTCTGACTGGTTGCAAAACATGCAAGAACTTTAGATGATGTCAACTACGCTCGTAGCTGACGTCATCTTCTGTCTAAACACGAGAGAACCGGGCAGGCTTTAGATCAGGAAGAGGGTGTATTGATCATATCTTCACCCTTCGACAGATTCTGGGACATAAGCAATCGTCATATTTCTGGAACTAAAGATGGCATTCGATTCCGTCGGCAGAGAGGTACTATTGCGATGTTTGGCTATGAAGCCAATGCCGAGAAAATACATTGCACTGATCAAGGCACTCATACAATCGGCCAGGTAAGAGCCTACGGCGAGTTTTAGTCTGAAGTAGTGACAACCAGTGGTGTCCGACAGGGATGCCACTGTCCCCATCTCTGTTTAATTTCATCATAGATATACTAATGGACTTAATCCTAACTGACTTCAGTGACTCGGGGGTTGACTTGTTTCCAGGGTATAATCTCGATGACTTAGAATATGCAGATGATATAGTCCTTCTAGGTGAAGACTGACAAAATGCAGTCTTCTGAACTACAATCTACGAATATCTGGCATGCAATTCGCTCCCGCCAGATGTAAGATAATGCTACAGGACTTAAGTGCATTGATTCCTAGCTTAGAGTTAGGGAGTGAACTGGTAGAGCGTGTTGACCACTTCACTTATTTGGGAAGTTGCATCAGCCAGTCCCAGCGGGTTGATGGCTGACAAAATCTCAGCACGGATACAGAAAGCTAGTTTCGCACATGCCAGTTTACGCTGTCTCTGGCGTAGACGTGATATCCGGCCGGCTGTCGACCAGAGGGCGTGTGTACTACTCAGCACTCGCTCCGTCCTTTATGGCTGTGAGACTTGGCCATTGAGAGTGAAAGATATGAAATGGCTAGCTGTCTTTGATCAAAGGTGCTTGCGTTGTATCTCCCGCATGAAGTAGTATAATAGGGTGAGCAAAATTGAGGTTAGTCATCGGTCGAGTGCTAGGTAAAGAGAGAAAATCAATAGACGAGGTTGTGAAGTTACATCGATTGAGATGGTTAGGACATGTGTTACGCATGCCTAGCCATTGCCTTCCTCGACGGACAATGCTAGCTGACGTAGGATGGATCAGGTTGGAAAACAGCCAGTGGTTAAACCGGAACATGGCTTCATTAGTCTCTGTCTGTCTCTATTCAGCATTTATTTTTACTTTTTTCTTTTGCTTTGTGTGCTGCATGGAGTGCGGCGATTTGAACTGCTGCACATAGGTGCAAAGTTCTACGTTGAAACCAAACAGGCCTCGTTAAGTAGGGTTTCCCCACTAATTTTATGAAGTAACGCATAGATTCTATCAGTTGTTGTCTGACTTCTTAGCTGACATCAGAAACTTTTTGCACAAGTCAATTTCTCACTTTGTTAAAGGGTTCAAAACAGTTTTTTTCTCCCTGCCAGTTGTCACAACACTTTCACTGTTCACTAGTTCGGTGATAAATGTATCAGTATTTGTCATATAGTACTTGAATATTTATTGCAAATGAACAGTACATTTTCTTTTTTTATTCTTGTAAAATAGATATTTCAAGCCAGAAAAGAAAACATTGAAGCAGTTACTAAACCTTTAACATGCTCATGTTTTACAACATCTATATGGGATGAGACATTATTCAAAGCGTGGTCTAAAATTGTTTATGAACTTATTCCAAATATCAAAACTCTAGAAGGGAGTTTAAAACAGCTTTGTGAGGTACTGGAAGCTGATGAAGTAATTTTATTTGAAAGAGCAACATTCCTTGAAATCGCTTGTCATTCTAGAGTCCCACATTCTGATGTGCATAGGTAAATGAGTTATTGTTTTCTTTTAATTAGTGAATACTTAAGGTTCGAAAAAATAAGCAATATTGTGAAACAATTCAAGTTGTCGTGTAGCAAAGTTGGTGCAAATTTCACCAAGATTGAATTGCATAATCAGTACTTTGCTGCGTTTATTGATGTTTTCACTTCAAATACATACATTATGGTTGTGTGTTCAGATCCATCTATCGGTAAGTGTACATACTTATTTAGCGATTTCACTATCTCATCGCTGTTTTATTTATAACTTTTAAGTCGTAATAATTATTACTCTCAATATGGCATCTTTTTACAAGTTCAAGGCCATATCCTTGACAATTTTAAGATACTTAGGATTTGATATGGGACATGGCTAAAGAGGTTCTGTTATAACTTGAGATAGTATTGTTCTTACTCGTTTAATACAACTATCATATTGTCATTCTTATGAATGCTTCAGCTGTAACGGGAGAGTATAGTTTTACAAATAAGCTAAAACAGATAAACATCATACATCAATAATGGTATCCATACAGTTATGAAACGAATTAACAACTATTAATTCGCCTTCATTACTATGTTACAGAACTAGTACTCTATAAAAACTGACACCATAGATGTCACAAATATCTTGGCAGAGTTTGATTCATGAATACGTTTTCAGCACACAACAACCACTCAAGATCATTTCCCGTAACATTCACTTGACAAACGTGATTATGCATATGTGTCCTTATTCTTTCATTGCTGATCCCGAATTGCATTACACGTATACTGAAGGCATCTAGATTTAACTAGCTCTAATATTTTGCGTTAGGTGCTTTCATTTTTCAGTGATACGCTAAATATGTTTTAAATTGTGTTATAGTATTCGAAGAGCCAGGCAAGCAAGTAGTAACTAGTTATTGAGGTCTTAAGAGTTGTCGACTGATTTAGTTGCTGTTATAAAACTCAATTACCCGGAACAGACTTTTCGTGTACAACAGGCTATAGAGCCACACTTATTGTGTGAGAGCTGACAATACTACCTAGGTTTCGAATTCGAACTTGGGACCCTTTAACCGAAACTCAATCCAACGAACCACAATTCATCTAGCAGTTAAGTAGAATCATACATTATCTAAAATTAAAGCGAGCTTGCATACCACTAAATGATAAACTGTACCAACCAGTAGACAGCTCAGGTAATACATATTTACCTCAATTGTAGGAAGTGAAATATAACTAATGTATCTACAAATCGGGTCTTACAATATGAATAATTGCCACATAGGCATTATTTCACGCCACATGGATGATCAGTATCGCCGTTCATCCTCATTGGACTAATTTTCAACAGACTGGCTCTTGAGATATGTCATGTTCTTCTTCTTGTTTCATGTTACACAATGACGTTTTTACGCTTTGATGAATAAACTTAAACATTTCCTATTCAACACTTTTTTTAGCTTCATCTGCAACTTTACTCAATATTCGCAATGCTCGTAAGCACTTCGAACGTCTAGAGAAAATAGAACAACCACATTCTGCAATAGCTGGGCGTAATTGAGACCTCGTATGCACTCGATAATCATCTTATCTATCGATGCATTGTGATTACAATTTTCCAACTGAAGATTACGATGTCAATGTGCATTATACCAGTGAATTTCGATTTTTATTCAAATAATAGAAAAAAAACATAAAATTCTGTATAGATCTGTGATGGATTTTCCATTTGCATCGGTCATCTTTTTACGGTAAGACAATATGATATTAGGCAGAGCAAAAATAAATTCTTATCCGTTCTACAAATTTGAATAAAAACAGCTAAAGTAGCTTACACATGTATAATTAACATGCTGAAAATGAATTTTTTGACACTAACTGAACTTCCAATTCTGTAAAACAATTTAAAATGTGATTAACGCTTTCCTTCAATCTATTTGTACACTTCAGTGATGACTACATCTTAGAGAATCATTATTCTTAAATGATATATATATGAAATTGATATGTTTTGATAAAATGTAAATAATTTCATACTTTTGCTTCGTCTAACTCATTTTTCTCTTTCATTGTATTTCCTTTTTCATCAACTTGCTCAGATGGTATACATTAACGAAGTCTTTTTTTTAACTGTTGTCTCACCTTTCTGCAAGTTCATGACAAGAACTTTAACTAATCAAAGTACTTAGGATTTGATATGTGACATGGCTAAGGTGCTTAGATTCTAACTTACACCTACTAAATAAAGAGATTCTGTTATCAGTTGAGATCGTTATATTCTTAATCATTTGGATACCTTGGAGACGACGATCAAAATGATCGTTATGAGCTACTCTGAACTGATCTTCTGATGGCAGATTACTTTATGAGTTGAACATGATGTCGTAAATGTAGAAAATAAGCAGCCAACCTTTAAAGTATCAATCTGGGAAGACTATTCTTCACTACACAGTGCTTGGTTGTAGGCTGACTGTATTTCTGTTCCTATCGTATAACCACGTAGTCAACGATGAACCGGGAATTATTTTATGCGTACAACATGTGTAGTTTGCTGAAGCCAATAATTCCAAATAACACCAATTATTGAATGACAATTGCCATCACAAAATATCGCACTTGTGTAGTGATGTAATGGAAACAAAGCGTGCAGCGAAAATATCCTAGATTTCTCTATATCCCTAAATCTGTTTAGGCTTTCCACTGTATAAAGTTAGACCTATAAATGCTATACTGCGGTCTTTAATTAACTAGATCTCCTTATTTCATTTACAGGCACCCGGCAGGGAAAAATTTTGCATGGGGGGTGGCGACAAGCCCGAGAAAACTTGCACCTGTCGTTATCAAGACTGATTACATTTCTTATATCAAGCTGTAATCAAAAATATAAAAAAATTGTGTTGCGTTGACTAAAACCCAGTGGCATTACTCACGGTGCAAGCGAAAAATCCGAACACTAATTTAATGTACAATGCCGGTACAGTAAATAAAATAGTTCCCAGTCATTCTACTTCGGTAGCCGCTGTAGGATAGTTAGGTGCATACTTCTGTTAGTAGTCACGTGAACATATTAAGCTGAGGTTTCTCCAATATTAGATAGTCATTTCACTTCATATTAAATCTATATATTTGGACTATAGAATTTGGTTGAATTGGAGGATGGTGACTAGCAGTGGAATCCAGGATGCGCATTTCGTCCTATTTGGGACTCGTCAGTTGGATGTGCATCCTGGATTCCACTGCTAGTCACCATCCACCAATTAAATTCTAATTACATGCCCAGACATCGTCGAAGCATCTGCACAAGAAGCTGACATGTCAACCTGAGACCGAGCACTTCGGTCAAATCAATCGACGGGAAAATCTAAAATTCAACTGTATAGAATTTAGTATTTATAACAAGTTTGGCAGCGTGGAAAAAATGTATCCGTCCCTCGAACATTTTCAAGTAATTTGACAGTATCAGGTGTGGCTAAAATAACGAGGACCGTATTATCTAAAATCCTGAACAGTATAATAGAAAGTGTAAGACGTGACGTATTATTTAAAATGATAAAAAGCTGCGACCGGTTACGGAGCTCCTAAGTTTATCCACTAGATGATTTATTTATCATAGGTAACAGCTGGTTAATCTACACAGCTCCAATCAGAACTAAATGGTTTAGTGTGATGACTGATAGAGATAAGTGAAATTACTGACGCAAGCCTCTCTTATGTCAGTAAAACACAGACTTTAAATTCGATATCACTTGATTTGGTTAGCGCCCCAATAATTTTAGTTACACATGTAGCAGAAATATTGTTGCATATGTCACTAACTCTGGTCCGGTCACTGTATCTCCAGTAATTAATCTGGTATTGAGTTCAAAGAACCACTCTCCAGTTACTTGACCTCCGCGTTAATAGGGGTGAGAAATAATTGTTAGCTGATTCATGCCTCTACTGGCTGCTCATATCGTTTAGTAAATCACGAAATAAGTTATTTTTACCCCAAAAGATATAGTCACATATCTTAGTTAATGAACTGTCATCGTATGAAGGAGTAAAACTCGGGTTATAGAATGACACTACTACGACTAGTGGACATTCACACATCATAAAATCTCTCCAGTACCGACTGTCTTAAAATGAACAACGCAAATTCAAAGTGTGAACCTCGAAAAGATATATATATATATATGATGCTTGGTTTTATCCTTCTAACACAAATATCCATGTTTCAAAAGTACCTGCGCTTAACAAAACATTTACGTAAAATCTGGAGAAAACGATAAGCGTCTAATCAGTACGAGTCGATTAACTTTAAAAACAAAAGAAAAGTACCGATCAGTTCAATAAAACTTACCGCATCTGCTATTAACCACTTTGTTATATTAAGATGGTAGTGATATCCTTACCATAAACCAAGCTTCCTGAATGTGTTTTTTTAAAATTGAAGATCAATACACAACGATGATCATATTAGATGAACAGTGTGGGGTAAGCAAAATTCGAAGGTCTTAGCATAAGCATATTTCAGGCTTTACAAACCACAAATACTGACCCGTTAACATTTCTCTTTTATTATTAATAACTCTAGGAGTGAAACGCATAAAGTTTATCCACCCATAATACTATATTTAAGCGAAGCCTGATCACGAATTACACTGTAAACATTGCTGACTTCAAATGTGTTACTCTTTTTATCATAATTGGAATTTTCAACTGCTAATTATTCAAGACCCCATTGGATAGTACATCAAAAGAAAGAGAACCTCTTGTGTCATACAAAATATACAATTTTTTTCAGTAAAAAAAAGCGATACAACAATGCTTCGGTGGGTATTTTTCAGAGATGATTTAGTTCGTTCCGTTGGAAAATAAATTAGTGAGACCAAAATCATTCTCTACTTGTACTGTCCTCTTGTACTCACGCGAGTTAGTCCATTTAGGACGATTTAATCTGGGTAAGTTTTGTATTTGAACCTCATTGCGAAAACGTTGACTAAGGGGAACCTGAATATCAAAAGTTAAACAATACAGTGAAAATTTACACAGAATAAATAAACTTATCAAAGTATGCGTATATTTTTTCGTATTTTTTAACACTACACATGGTACTCATTCACCACGTACACATCCATAAGCCTAACAATAGATCAGATTTATTCGAAAAGTGTTAATAATAATAATTGGCTGCCCGAATTCTAATAGGTGAGGCGAGGTTTAAGTAATTCACCGTATTGAACGAAGTCGAACGCTTAGACCACTCAGTGATGCCTCTCTCTGCATTCAAAGGAAGAAGACGGCATATTACATAACTCTTATTTGTCTTAAGGATTAACGTAATTTAAATAGCTTTATAGAGCAGTCAGTCCACAGTGATTGAAACGGTCACTCCAGGTGTTTACTAATGTTGGAGAAAGCACATTCCCCTTAGTTCATTTTAATCGATCTTTCACAGCACTACACTACACTACACATTTGGATGCAAACTTCATTATAAACAGATTTAGACTAAGCAATTATGTACTATCAACAAATCGATATGAGCAGTTAGAATCACTCACTTTCAACAGTAGTGCCTGCTAGCCAGACCTAAGTACCTAAACAACGGATGTGCATTTCGTTCGTTTACAATCTGGCTCATCAGTGGTGTACTCGGCCCGAATTAGCTAACATAACCGAATCAGCTCAAACCACATAAAATCCTCGCTTGCCACTTGAGCTAAGTAGTAGTATTGCAACAACAGATTGTAATACACGACAGCCAAGGTATATTTTTCATTAATCAAACCGCTGTTTATATATCTACAGTTTATATTCTTAAACCAATCACTGAGCGTGTGATTTCGGTTTACATCAAAGGACATGAAATAGAATGTTCAAGTATACATAGTATTCTTTTGTTAATGCAGTATATAACCATAGGAAATGTATTCTGTCTTTAACATCAAATCAAATGTTCAAATAGATATATATTGTATGCAGTATTGAACTGTGAGGCTATGTGAGCATAATATTCCGTTGGCAGATATTGCCTGTATCACACCACCACAGTATTAGTACAATCTGTTACCTACTTGCTTTTTATTAGAAGTCTTATGATGACTTTGAATTAGTAGTTTTTATGTATTACTCTTGTCTATGATGATATTGTCACGACAGAAGACAAGGGCCAGGAAACAGATCGTCTATTGAGGATATTAAGAGATATTTATATATTTTTGTGTACATTATTACTCGTTATTATTAGCAGAGAAACAGCGTCTTCTGATTGGTTGTTTTCTCGCTGAAAGTTATTCTATCATCTTTGTGGCCGTTTCTTTGATGATCAGACCATATATTTGCGGTTCGTATCCGCCCACACAAAGTTTGCTGTTATTGGTTATTGAGTTAGTCTTTGTTCTTGTTTTTTCTCATGACCAAGATTTGGGACGTAAACATTGACGTAAATTGCTGTCTACCAATTTTGGCTAGCAGACAGCTCTCACCACAATATTGATTGCCTTGTAATTTTACAGAGCAGACGACATTTTCTCTAGAATCTGACTTATACAGCAATGAAAACAGTCTGCATAATAAACCAGATGATATCTATGTAGTGACAACCTCGTCATTAGTAACTTAGTGCTATGTCAGTCAAACGAATGGTAAAACGTAATATATTATCCAACTCGAACTCAATTAATGGAAATAGGCATATCTACTGAAAAGGGATTTTTATATTCTGAAAATACAACTTACTCCAATAATAGGATCAACAAGTTTTTTAAAGGCATCACGTCTTCCTCGAATAGTTAGTGGTTTTTCATAATTTTCAAACATTTTCTTCTCAAATGTCTGTAGCAGAAATTATTAAACAGTTTTAAACTTTTTACATTTTAATTGAGGTAAAAACTCACATTTCTAGAAAACATGTATAGATTCTACACAAAGCATGTAGAAATCTTTTAGTGAATTCACTATAAAGGTATGCATGTGTACTTTGAATTAAAACAATTAAAGTGTAATAGGAGATCAAAAATAGAGAAAATAATATGAATCACCTAAGGGGAAAAAATATTGATACACCAAAGTAAAATACAAATTAGATGCCGTCAAAAAACGTTATGAAATAGCACTATGACAGTTACTATTACAATTATTAACGGTTTGAGGAGATCATGCTAGAATATGAATAATTGTGTTAGGGAAAGTACACCCAAATAAAGGCATGAAATTTAAATATCCGCACTTAGTGAGGTGAGAATCTTCCCTAAATTCCAAGACATAATCTATCAAACAACTGCCTAAACCTGAGAAGATAACAGACAGCAAACCAATGCTACAAACCATGACAAAGAGCTAGAAAATTTTCTACTTCTACATCATGTATTCCCTTTTATGAATTTGAATAAAGCCAGAACAACAGATGTCGTAGAATAATGTGGTACCCTCATTTGTTTCGTTGACTTTTCATCAGGTGCATACAGCCTAAATAAAATTATTACTAAGTTTCAACATACTTGCAAATTGTTTATGATGTCAGGTGGTTCCACACTTAATGAACAGTGCTCAGAAAATTACACTTAAATAGTTTTTGCACAAGGAGTTCAAGTTTAAACAAAGTAAATGTATCCATACAATGGTAAAGGAGTTTCATAATAAAGACGAGAGGTGCGTAAGAGATGATGAGTAACTAACAAATTAGGTAACAACGTACTCAAATCATAGAAACAAGAGGCAAGCAAAATTACACTATATCAAAGGGGGGGTGAGGTAAAAGTCAAAGATTACGTGATCAAATGAAGAAGAGAATAAAGACATCCATTTACCAGGCAGCAGGGCAAGGAAAGACTGATAACTGCTTCCTTCTGAACACATAAATCGGCTTTCAGACGTTCGATAGAGATTGCTTCGGCAAACCTGAGAAGAATTGAGCTGTTTTGCCTATCAATAATTTTAAGGGATTCTGAGATTTCCAACTCATGACCAGTAACAAGGATAAGCCTGTTAATGGCACCACTGTAAGCGTTTGTTCCCTTGAGACTAAGGCTTTTCGGTACATGTTCAGGAAACCGACGCCAACGAAATAAATGATGGTACTATTTAATCCTGCAAAAACTGTTGTTCTTCCTTTACTCAAAATCTTGCATCAATGAGTAGTCATCAGTTTAACAATTCCCATAGTATTGGTTATCTATGAAATATATTTCAATCAAATTAGTTCAGCGAAGAGTCTCTTTTCGGCGAATTCATTCACTTAGCTGTACAGTCGCAAATATATACAATTAATTTTGTGTGTGTGTACATTAGGTTTGTCAAAATCAAAATAACAGTTGGTGTGGGTTGTTGATTACATCATCAAAATAATTAAGAAATTAAAATGTGTGATTAATAATCAAAGCCTTAGCGTTTTGGATAGAAAAGCCTGAATTATGCACACAGAAGAAACTTCTCCACCCCCTCCTACTACCGTGGGTTTAATTTCAAGTTTATCTGTCATCAACATTTTGTTATCAAATTTTTTTGCAATCTTCGTAAAATAATTTTTAGTAACTAACCCATTCAATCTTTTCACCTATTATCTAGTTTATTTTCATGATTGTCTCCATACTCCTTCACTAGCATCTAATCTTTCTAAACATGTCTATATTACGTAACCCTACTCACATCTTACCAATCTTCACCCCATTTAGTTACAACTTTGATTATTAATCACACATTTTAATTTCTTAATTATTTTGATGACGTAATCAACAACCCACACTAACTGTTATTTTGATTTTGACAAACCTAATGTACACTCACACACACAAAATTAATTGTATATATTTGCGACTGTACAGCTAAGTGAATGAATTCACCGAAAAGAGACTCTTCGCTGAACTAATTTGTTCTTATTTCAATGTCTTAATGGGTATTTTTCGCGAATATTTAAATCACTTTTACAACACGCTTAGAGCATCTGTAGGTGTGATTAATAAAAAAATGAAGCGAACAGCACTAATAGCTTCACTCAATCATATCTTATTGATACGGGTAATAAAATGGACATGAAATTTGCCGTCCCAGTAATTTATAACAAATCTAATCATTTAAGACTACTGGGTCAAAGGAATTAATAACATAGGATACAGGAAAAGTGAAAGCGACAAGAAATCACTCACTACCACTGGTGACCATGTGTTTAAACTAACACAAACCCTTATGAAAATAAATGATTATTAAACCACTTTCCTATGGTATAATTAAATATCACCTGAAATTTATCCATGCATATAACATTAGCGGAAATATAAACAACACATAAACTTGAATATTGAGTCTGATATGAAACTATCGTGAAAACACCTTGCTCCTTCTTCATTACTTTCACTTCAATTTTCAATCACGCAACTCAATTTTCTTATAATAATAATAATAATAATAATGGTTCTAATGACCTTACACTATTTACTTTTTTAAAGATAATCATCCACAGAAAAAACACTACCAATACTGCTGACTAATATGGTATCTAAAATCATTTAACCACTTTACATGAGTATAAGTTGATACTGGCAAGATATGTACACAAAATTGCGTGGAACTATATACTACTGACTGACTGAAATGAGTAGTTGTATACAACTCATGTCAACCAGTACTGCTTGATGACTAGCCAGATCAAGGTGGTCTAAACACACCGCTAGTCTGGGGCTGAAACCATCAGCAATGTGCCTAGTTTGACTTAGCTGAGAGAGAGAGAGAGTACCCCGATCTGGCTAGCAGGCATTGTTGGTTGATATGAGTGGTATACGACTAATTATAGTCTAATCAATACTTAGTACACTGTTTTATGCAAATTTGCTATCTTTCTTGATTACCATTTATGGTGTCAAGTAGATCACATATTGTGTTCGGAATAACTTGATATGTAAAGGAAACTATGATGAAATCTCACCGCTAGAACTGTGTAAATTGCAAATTGTGAATTTGATTTAAGACCCTTAGTCATTCTTAGTATTGTATACCAAACAAATATTCGTAGCTGCTGGACGTCTTCTGTAGAAGATAAATTAATCTTGACGGTAAATGCATACGCAAAAAAGGTAAGCGAAACAGATTGCCTTATATATTTCAATGATATATTCAAAAGTCATTAAAGTTAGACTTCAAAAAAAGAAAAAAAATGGATAAAAGTTTAACAAAACAAAATGGAAACACTAACCTCAATCTGTTTTTGTACCTGACTTTCTTTATTTTTATCATTATTTGCAGTGCTCAGTAAAATGCGACTTAAAAGAGCACGTAGATTTTGTTTAGCCACACTGATATCAACAGCTAAGTATGTTTTAATACCAGCAGACAATAAACTATTCAAACAGTCTTCAGCATTTCTGCCATTCACGTGAAGACCGTAAAGAACACCAATTAAAATTGACTCCGCTGTTGTTGCAGGTAAAGGTGTCGTAGCAACTTTGTAGCCACAATTATTCTGAACAACAGCGTTTGTTAACTGTAAAATATATTGCAAACATAAAAATATACGTCAAATTAGAACGCTAAGCATATTAATTCTATGAATTTATAACTTTGAAACTAGGAGTACCTTGTGCAATAAAATGTGGCAATCACTGTTGCATTCATTGTGGATAAAATTTATTTTGATAAAGTCTTACAGTTCTATACTGTAACATCTACTGATGAAGTTTCGAGTACAATTTATTGCTCACAATCATATCAAGACACTACTTACACAACTTTCCTACTTTGTCTATAAGATTCCACTATTTCTCATCTCTTGATTTAGTTGGTAGTAATATTTTCCATATTTCGGGTATGAGTGATGAATCATTCCCATTGCATGTGTTGGGTGTAGATTCTATGAACAAAGATTCAGTAATCAACCTCTCTTAGTTCCATTATATTGTGTGGTTGTGTGTTAATGCATGCCTTGCAACTGCTGAGCTTTTTTCTAAATTACTTATCTTCTCTGGGTCAGCCATTCTTACCTTAGCTAAATTCTTATGTTCCGACAATCTGACTACCCCTGACCTACTAGTTTGACCTATGTAGTTGACCTCACAGTCATTGCAAAGCATTTTGTGAATTATATTATTTTATCTAATTGGGTCAACTGGGTCCTTTAACCTACAGAGCTTGTCCCTGAGTGAGTTTGTAGGTTTAAATGCCACCCTGATTCCTGCTTTATTAAGAATCCTACGTAGGGTTTCAGATATCACCTCCTCATAAATTATGCTCAAAACATCATCAGTAAATATTACTGTATAGAACTGTGAGACTTTATGAAAATAAATTTTATCCACAATGGAATTATACTCTACCACAGTGCACAAGTTCTATTATTATATAGTTGCTTCCATTAGGAACTTACCGTCTTACCGATATTATTCCTATTACATTTATAGTCCCCTTGTTTTGTTTCATAATTATAAATACCATTTAAGCTATGTGATAATTGTTACTTTTTTGTTTTTCCGCCTCACCATACTATGTCAAGAGAACATCAGATTCAATATTCTGTTACATGCTAGAATTTCCATACTTTATCGACAATGTTGCTTGAAATAAACCCACTAATATTATCGTTGTAGTTATTATTCTCATTTTATACCTTGCACATTTCTGACATTACTCCTACTCTATATATGGAAAAGTTTCTGTGGTTAATTTATTTCTATTTTGAGTAGATTAGATGCAATATTGTGACAAATGCTGAAAATTCCAAGTGGTATTAAAGTAATGCTTTCCGGAATAAAGTTGATTATTATTATTATTATTTATTAAGCTAACATTATAACCTCATCAATAGAAAACTTCACTATAATATACAATATATATAAAAAGTCTCGTCAACATTCAGATTTGAGGTCATTTTAAACAGTTCCTGTAACCAACCGATCAATAGAAAGTGTCTCAAAAAGAACTTCTATGACAGGACCTATGAACTCTGTGAAAACCAAGCCATAAACAAAAATATGAACTAACCAAATCAACAAGAGTTGATATCCACTGAGCAGCTTTTGCGCATATTGAAGTATCAGGCCAAGTCAAAGATTTTGCTAATGAATTCAAAAGTAATGGATCCAGTGGAAGATTCTGTGCTTGATACTTTGGATCTGAAGATACACAATGCATATTAGACAATAGTTTTGCTAAATGTCCAGGTGAATTTCCCCCGGTTGATTGTCCATTAGCACCTAGTGATTCTGACATGTCCACATCATCACCATCTTCAAGATTATCGGTATCATTTTTAGAACCATTGAACTGTTCAGATATTTCATAGCCATTGAAGGTATATATCAAGCCTAAAGATACAATAAATAAACTGTTATGCTTATACCAAAAGATGTTGGAGTGAAATTTTATTTATCATTGTTAAATCAATACTTATCCAACTATCACAAAATCTCTTCATTCATATGATGGCAGAAAAGAACATTAACTGGTAATCTAAACTTGTGTATGGACATTTGGTTACATGTGATATTGATGTTTTTTTTCGTATAGATTATCTGCAAAGAAAGGGTCACTAAGAGCGCTTATAAGAAACACGAAAAGATAATGAACTGAACAAGGAGAAGCGAATTCTGAAAACTTTATAAAAGTTTATAGAGTTTAAACAATATTTTATTCCATGGAGGATTTCATCATGAGCTGACATTGGTTAGAGAACCACTGAAAACCTGAAAGTACTGGACAGCTGTCTCGTCCTAGCTTGGGACTCTTCGTCAGTACGCACCCACCGGGGTTCGAACCCAGGGCCTTCTGGTTACAAGGCGAGCTCGTAGACCACTGAGCTACTGGGACCCCACCCAATGGTCCTTGGATTCTTACTTCTGCCAATTCACGACATAGCGCGACCATTTCGCAATGTAATTCCATTATGGGTAATTTTGTTAAATTGTAAATTGTGCTCGAAACGTCATTTCACAATGTCTTCTTCGATGAGTTACCGCCTCAAGGACCATTAGATCGGGTCCCAACGGCTCAATGGTCCACGAGCTCGCCTTGTAACCAGAAGGCCCTGGGTTCGTACCCCAGTGGGTGCGTACTGTGAAGAGTCCCAAGATAGGACGAAACAGCTGTCCAGTACTTTCAGGTTTTTCAGTGGTTCTCTAACTGATGGAATCCTCCATACAATCAAAAAAACTCCCTAAAAAACCAATACTTGAAAATATTTTATTTTTCGGTGAATACTGACTTGAAAAACTAACTGTCTAGCACATTAGCAGCGTATAACTGCTTATTACATTAGTACTAATACACCACTTTGATTGATTTCGAATAGCAGCATTTTGTGAACAAGTATGCATGAATACTTTCTCATAAAGAATAATGCAAATTATAAACATGTGAATTCCAACTTGAAAAAGAAAGTAAATAAAAGTCTTCCGGCGATAAACAACTAACTGATACCATTTTGTTATCACGTAGTCAAACAGGATGACTGACAATCCCGCTTGAGACTGCACTATCAAACTCATCACGCATGGAACTCCACATGAAATAGAAAACAAAAACGTTATGATGCTGCGACACATAGAAATAGGTGATAAAGAGAGCTAACAGAAGATTAATCAAGTTTAGAATCTGGATATATACATCTTTACCATTGTGAACAGTTTTCAACCACTAATTCTTGTCATAGCGAGTACTTCAATGAAGCGGACTGCACTTCCCTATGTGAATCAGACTATCTATCAACTAATCACTTTATGGAATGATGATTTGTTTTCATTTAACCACGCCTAATACTTTTTATCATAGGAAACACAAATACAGCCTCAAATCTTTAAGCAAGAATTTATTGGCTGCTTAGTAGCCTTTGAAATTGCTCTTTATTGATTATTTTCATTTTTTCTTTATTTCATTATAGCTTGATTCCACAGAGTATTTTGGTACAAGTATGAAATTTTCAGCATATGATATCGGTAGCCCAAATTTAGCAGGCCGACCATAGATATCAGGTGTGCGTCAGCAGGGGATCGAAACTCGGACCATGTGCATGATATGTTATCTGTCAAATATTCTATATTTAAATCCCCTAGGTAAAATTTACGCATATAACTATACATTAAATGACAAAAGACGACACTTAATACACAAATTTGCAGGTTGTTCTTTATTTTGGTACCAGTTCACTGGGAGTTTGTAATAGGGACACAGTTTTCCTGTGAACAGTGACCACTCAGACATACTACCAAATGGTACAATCGATAGATAAGTTGATATCAATTCAGTTTAGTTTTATCGGTCAAGTAATCGGTTAGTTGCAACATATTAATACAACCAATTTAATAGTTACAACACACGTTTCGACTAATCCTACTTCGTTATATGCAATACAAGTTTTAGTCACCTCAATCAGTGAAGCTTTAGAAAAAAGGCAATAGGTCACTTAAAATGAAAATAACAACTTCAATACAGTACTCTACGAAGTTTTTTTTATGGAGACGAAATTGTATAAAAACAGAGAGACTAATGTATTTAAAACACTAAGGTCATAGAGTGTTAACTTCGAAAATTCACCTGAAGCTACAGACAGATAGATTACAGTGTATGCTTACAAACCGAGTTACTGGCTATGGAAAATAGTAATGAAACTCAACTGAACACTAACTTGTGCACCAAGCTGAATTACAAACACTTAACCAACAGAACCTCAGTAGGTGGTGTGGAATTCATATGTTTGACAACCGAATGCACATAATAAGCTGTGTCTTCATCAGAAATTTATTAACAGAAAACTAAATCAGATAACTTACGTAGTAAATTCAAACATGTTCGACTTAATAAACGAGCTGATCTGTCCAGTACTAATTCAGTGAAAATAGCTTCTTCGTTTTCACATTCACGTTCACTAAAAAGACGAACAATTTACCAAAAACAGCATGTTGCAAAAAGTTAGTTAGAGTATTTCAAACTGGTTTTATTTATTATTGATAAACTACTGAATATGAATGTAATGCCTTAAAATACTAAAGACAACCCAGTGAAATAAGATATTTAGTATTTCTCTTCAACAGAGTATCAAACCTAATCAAGTAGGATACTTTATAGTATTTTAGTACTTTATTCCTTTGCATTCCAAGTAGCACATAGGGCTTTAAGCTCGAGCTTTGAAGTTTCATTGGCTATGACGAGGTGCTGTTGCTACCTTCACGTCCAATCTTTCCTCTTTACCGGCAGTACTACCTGCTACGCGAAGTTAAGGAGTGTGTCGGCCGGGGATCGAACCCCGAACCACATGAATGGTTGGCGACTAATTTACCACTTAACCACTGACGCACACTTTCAAGTGGGATAATTATACCTTACTATATATATATGGATGATCAAGGCAGCTGATGAGTTCATCACACGTTAGTTATAAAAGTCAATCACTCATTTTGCATCTGGATCTACACTACAAGATTACCTTTTTCTTGTCTTTGCTATTTCTAACTGTAGAATGAGACAGCACACTTCTGTCTGTCTGTCTATCTCTGTTTTCAACATAGAACTTTGCACAGATGTGCAGCAGTTCAATTCGCACATAAAGCAAGAGAAGAAATAAGAAGAAATGTAAAACAAAGACAGTAAACAGGGATATCAGACAAAAGGAAGAACAATATAGTTTCACTGGAAACTATAAATCACAAGAAGTGGATGCATCAGCACCGGCCATTGAGAACGATTTGAGTCATATCACCAATTGTCGCAAGCCATTCGTTTTTACCGTCCCGAGGACCAACCAGGGAGTCTACACCTCCCTACGTCATTGGCTGGCTTAAACTAACTGTTATGAATTTCATTGACTGATGAAGCCATGCTTTGGTTTGACCACCACTAGCCAACTCTTTTCCAACCTGATCCTATATCAGCTAACATTATCCGTCGAGGAAGGTGATGGCTAGGCGTGCGCAACACATGTCCTAACCATCTCAATCGGTGTAACTCCACAACCTCGTTGATTGATTTCCCCTCCTTACCCAGCACTCGACCGATGCCTAACCTCAGTATTGCTCACCCTATTATACCACTTCGCACGGAGATAGAACGCAGGCACGTGAGTTCAAAGACAGTTAGCCTTTTCATGTCTTTCACTTTCAATGGCCTACAGTCATAAAGGAGGACGGAGCGGACTGCTGAGCAGTACACGTTCTTTGATAGACAGTCGGCCGGATTTCACGTCTGGCATATGCAACTCCCCAAATAAGTAAAGTGGTCAACACGCTCTACCACTTCACTCCTTAACTCTAAGCTAGGAATCAATGCAGTCCAGTCCTGTAGCATCATCTTACATCTGGCGAGAGCGAACCGCATGCCAAACATTCGCTCAAGGTGTTCAGAAGACTCTGAATTTTATCAGCACACTTCTGAGAATTACAACGTCAACAATAATAAATACCAAAAAATCTTCGTTCAACGAATTGCCTCTACCTATATTCGTCTTTAGATTTTTGTTTCTACCTTTCTAATTCCCTTCAAGTCATAAAAATGCAGTAAAATAAAATGAATACAGACCATATTATTTCATTTAGACACGCAAATTTAAATGAGTCAGACATACAGCTATAAAAGAAACAACAACAAATAATTGCGAAATTCACAAAAAGTATGTGCGAAGTAACGGGGCGATTTCGCCCACGAACAAATTATAGAATTGCAGTTTGATCTATTTGATGCCAAGACTATGCGAATTAGGAGAGTACAAGATAGATCGCCTTGCAAAACACGCAGTACAACATGTCACAGGCATAAGTCAGTGTGTAGACGGCCAATATCAGATGCAATACAATAATGAATTAAAAATAAGAAAACAAGCATTTCAAAAAAAATTTCTATACAAAATGAAAGGTGAACTTACTTAGCCATGTTTAACTCATTCCATCTTATCCCAGTTCTCTGCAAGATTAAAGATAAATAAGAGACAATTCAAAAGAAAGAAACAACACGGGAGTTAAATGATGATCAAGTAGCATTCGGTAAATACTCGAGAAAATGGAAAGAAAATCACCATCATACTTTTATCTGAGAATATACGTAAATTTCATTAACTTTCAGAGTTCACTTAAACTGTACGTATGGAACTTCTAAATAGATATGTATATACTTCCATGTTTAGATATAATAGAAATTTATAGCTCAAGTGAATGATATTGGTATAGTTGTTTTTTTCTGAGACAGATGGTTTAATTGCAATGAAGTCTGAGCTGGAGACGCTGTTTAGAAAGATAATAAAAGCTTCGCAACTAAACCATACAGCTTAGAGAAAATGACTACACCAATATCTCCACATTTTTAACTAACCCTATAAATGTTACAAAGGCTGAAAGTCGAGAATGAATAACATTGTCTGACAACAAAAGAACCTCCCTGAAACTGCATTTCACTGTTAATGAGATTGCCATCCAACTTCTTAGGGAATTCCAGATATCGGGACAAAATAACCTTTTCTTTTACTTAGTAGATCAATGTATTTACGCATATTATCCCAAAGAATCTGTATAATTCACACCCATTTGCCTCCTAAGTCTTCAACCTTCTTAATACTATGTAACATATTTCGCATAACAACGGCTCTGTTGACCCGACGCCATTACTTCTAAAATTACTTTATTAACAACTTAGTTGAAATATGTTATTACTGTTATTTAATCTAGCATCATTAGAGTGACATTCTGACATTAATTGTAAGACTAGTAAGGAGATAATAATTCGAAAGAAGTCTGTTGACTGAGATGAACTTCTGAGAGAGATAAATAACCAACTTTTCTTACACACAATCACATAAATTAATAAGATTTGTCTTTCAGAGTCTTTAATGATATCCTACTATATTAGTCTTTGCATTGCTTGTCTAATCAGCAAAATTATTCTTACAACACACTAACATCTTGAAATGATTTGGTGGATGGTGACTAGCGACGGAATCCAGACTGCCCACTTCGTTCTATTTAGGACTCGTCATCCGGATACACCTGCATTTCCCAGTGCAGTGAGTAATGGTCTTCCCACCGAGGCTTACACCCAGTACCCATCGTTTCACACGACAAAGCGTTATCATCCACTGGACCATTTAGGCCACAAGAGCCACCTCTTGTGCAACGGGTTTGATCTACCCGCTGATTGATCGGACCGAAATGTTCAGTCTCTGTTCATATGTCGACTTCAAGTAATTTCTCAGATATTGTCGAAGCGTCCGTACTAGGGGTCATAGGCTGAACATTTCAATCCAATCAATCAATGGGAAAATCAAAATTGAATTAAAAATAAATAATACTAACATCTTTTGCCAAAGGTTTAATTTGGGTTGAAACTTAGTCAAATATATGTTTATAATAGAGAATAATAAACCTACCTCAATAGCTGCTTCAACTACAGGTGGTATAAGAGGGGTGATTGCAGTTTCAAAATACTGCTTAGGACAGTATTGAATAAAAGGGCGAATAATTAATCCTAAATGCATTAACAATTGATTTAAAGTTAAGTAATGATAGCATTTTAATATACACCGAGAAGTCTAATATTTTTGATGAAATCAGCAACAACAAAAGAAACAATTTGAACTGAAATGGCAAAATCAAAATGTATGCAGCATTGCGTAGTCTTAATATTCCCTTTTGCAGATAAAGATCAAACATTTCCTAGGATGAAAGAGTTATGTTTATACAAATGAACCAGTATTTGTTTAACAAAAGGAGTTGCTCATTGATACAGCTGCATTTAGTGGCGAAACAGTGAATCATTATGTCAAATTAGTTGCATAAATATACCTCAGAAGGCAAACTAATCAATATTTGATTATGGGACGAACCATTACTAAACCTTTTATCTAAAGAGTATGCAGTATTACGCTTTGAATAGAGGACGAGAATTCTTGTGATGAACAACTTTTCAAATAATTTGTATTAAGTCGTGTTATATAAAACTACACAGATAATATTGAACAGTCCTTCTCTATAATCTATATCGGGTAACAAACAAATTGCCAAAAACATCCAGGTACTGCATACTCCAAACAGCGAGGCTATCACGATTCACCTTAAACAACCGGTGCTCTGTGTGCAGAAGAAGTAAATCCAGTCACTACTATTGCCCTGACCAGCCTTAAGTGAAGACTATAAATTCATGAATTTGCATTATTATTTTCCCTAATTTCTCTGATATATTCATTCAGTGTATTGTTATGTTGATGCTATCGAACTGTAAACCACTCATATTATATTAAACAAAATTGTTGTTTATAACACGAATTCATTCACTATTATGTATGTATATATAACTGTAGAACCTGATGATGAAGTTATTCGAAAAGAATATTCTTTGTTCAGTAACCATTTAATTTCAGTTATTAAAATCATGTTTAATTTTTAACTAATCTTATATTGGTTACTTTACTTTTCTTAACTCGAATGAAGAATGTATCATCATAAACGCTTCTTCGGTTGCTTCATCCTCATGTCATATACACAGACTAGCAAAAGAATATTTAGTGTATATCTCAAAAGATACAATTTACATTGAGTTAAATGAGTAAAATGAAAATATTCCAAAGCATTATATATATAAGCAATCAGTTTCATTGACTACTTATTACGTCCACAATAGATCATATTTGCACCTTAGCCACACTCATACACACACACACACACAAGACAAACTATGAAGAATGAGCGATAATCTTACAAAAAGGGAAAGCAGTAGAAATGTAGGCATTTAACTAATCTACAATGCGTTTTTTTTCCTTTAGAGGGAAATATCACAGCTTATATAACACTGGAAAACAGCTTCAACCAGTAAGGAATTCAATTAGGAATTATATTATTAATTGTCTCAACTATGTATGCATTAAATCAATTTTGTCTACACATGAAAAGGATACGTAAAAGATTGTTAACTTTAAGATCAGGTAAGTGTTCGAATGCAGCACAACAACCATCGTGTAGTGCAATTCTCAGTTGTTCGGTTGGTAGAAGATAAAACTTTGATCCCAATGAAATGAACAGCAGACCGACAATGAACATCAGATTTTCATGACAATCATTGAGAAAAGTGCGTAATCTACGAAATACAGGATTCGCTTCATCTATAGACTGTAAAAATACAAGTTGAAACAAAATGACTTTTCACAGTTAGAGCAGTAATCTAATAGAATAAAAGAATTACTCTATTACTTTCAAGATTTAATCATGACCTAACATCGGTTAGAGAACCATTGGAAAATCCAGGAGTACTGGGTAGTTGTTTCGTCTTAGTTTGGGACTCTTCACAAGTACGCAGACCAGGGTTCAAACCCAGGATCTTCTGGTTACAACAAGGTGAGCTCATGGACCATTAAGCCACCAGTAGATACTAGCAATCCGATGTTACTACACATGATAAAAAATCTATAGAGCACACGATACTCAAGAGAACACTTCAAAATAGTTGAACATTACGCCGGAGACTGTTAGTGATATGGCCGGGAACTGTTCTCAATGATGCAGATACACTCACTCCTTGTAATCACCCAGCTCCCATAAATCATAATGCTCAATATAGTTCTTTTGAATTTTTTTCTTTCCTCTACCTTTGTGTGTTACATGGAGCTTGGCAACTTGAACTGATGTACTTTTGTGCAAAATCCTATGTTGGAACGCTGGAACTAAGTGCTCCGAAAACTTATTAAATAACCACAATCGCGATAACTACTTCAATCGGCATTAGCGGATAGCATGACTCATGAGTCAGTAGTTCAACGGTAGAATGCTCGTCAACTATACACGTGATCTGGGGTTCAATTCCTGGCCGGCATACACCTCTACTTCCCGTAGTCGGTTTTGAGTCCAACAAAGAAAGAAGGTTAGGCATGAGGCTGGCAATCGTACCCCTTAAATAACACCACTGTTATTTCAACTTCAGAGCTAGAGGTTGAAGCCGTATGTTCCACTCGGAACGCAAAAAGAATAAAATAAATACAATAATAACTCACGTAACACAAGTGTAAGTGTGCGTTAAACTTAAAAACACAGACATAAGAATGTTCCTGAATCTAGGTCATAAAGTGTTTAATCAAGATTAAACGACTTCTTTGCACTGCAGAAACCCAAGCTATATGCATAGAAAAGCCACAGCTATGCGTTCAAAAGAAATAAGCAACAAAAGTTCCCATTCTGATAAATGCTTACATACTTAAAAATATCGGTGGAATTTAGTCATAAGCCTTGAGTAATCACAAAAGTTATGAACTTTTTCAAGTATTTAACCGGCTACAAAAATACCTTTGTATCAATACAAACGCGTCTCTAAGTACTAGTTTCAAAGGAATGTATTACATATTTTCTTTCTTATCTCTCACCATCTTGATAATCATCCCTTCTTTCATGTTAACTGACAAAGTTATCAACCTAAGACGAAATAAGTTACCCTGCACCCAAGCCAACAAAGTGATACTTAAGAACAAACAACGGTAAAAATTCAGATAAATCATAAAGAATAATGGCAAAAACCTTGACCAGTTACTTCTTGAAAAAACCAAGTGAATAACTCTCCAATACAATTGCAATTGCCTACCTTGAATATTTGACGAAACTGATTATTTAAAGTGCAAAATTTATTATGGTCCGTACTTTGCAAAGCAGGAACTATCGTTGGATGCATCAATCTTAGTGATTCTGGTAACCAGAGTTCATTAAATGCTCTAAAGTAAGAAATAAATAGATAATGTGAATAATTACAAAACTATGATGTACCCTGATTTACTACATGATTAACCGTAAGAAAAATATACATCATAACTGTACCTACCTCAACACACGCAATACTGGTGACAAAACTGGTTCCAAAATGGGCAGTGATATGTTCTCCAACTGAAAAAGTACAACAAAATAAAATGGAATACACTTTAGGTAATTATAAGTTCAAATGATAATCCGTTGGGATTTTTGATATCTAGGCTGGGTATATAATGCATCTTAGCAAGTCTAAAAACGATGCTAGTTTGCAATAGGCAGTTATGATAGGACAGCAGTAAATCATCACTTCCACAGATTTCTTTGGTTGAAATTACGGAAGTTCACCACTCATCTCTGTCTCCATCTTTACTCTTCTGTCAGTCTGTAAACATTCTTCCCTTTACTTCATTTTTTACGTCCTATTTTAAAGTTTCAGTAGAGAAGATGCTATTTTTACATGGTAGGGTTGTTATCCTCATGCCCAACCTTTCCTCTTTTGTGGGCTTACTACTGAGTAGCTAACATGCTTTGGTTTGACAGTACATCGGTCGAAAATCGAACCAGGACCTTCTGCGTGTCTAGGGGAAATTCTAGAAATGAACAACCTTACACAACGGTAAGCAAGACATACTAAACTTATGAAATCACTAAAATATGTGGATCAGAAGTTGATTAGTGGTTCTAAATTTGCTGTAAATAGACTACTATTAGTTTCGTCCTCCCTACAGTAAAAAAGCTTTGATTTTAGTGGCAGTGCAGCCCACAGACTAATATGCGAAAACATATGCAATGCAATGCACCGTTATTATTTCCAAACAAATCTATACCCTAGAAAGGCAGTAGTGATTGCTAATTTCAGTCTAGCATGTTGACACTAACGTACTGACTGAGTCATTGACAAATTAACACGAAAATGCATACAATATACATCAGTTTCAGTTACCCTTTGGCCTAACTAGTATGTGGCATGATAAAACCTCCAAAGCATTCATTCCAACTAATGTAGCTCATTAGATCTTAACAATATGTAAGGCCGACCGTCACATCAAGGTAACAGCTATCATCGTCATTATTCAGTGGTTCATACATTTGACTTTCAGCCAATAGTTTTTGAGTTAAAAACATAATCACCTAATCCAACTAATACAGTCTCCTGCAGATGTCAAGCGTGGTGTAAAACGTCGGACGCAAAATAGCTGTATTGGATGACCTAAGTGGGTCATGATGAGGAACATTACTCAAAAGTTACTAAAATCTACTGTCTTAAATAGTGAGGTGTTTTTTCTTCGTCATATTTTACGAGATAAGACTTAGAGAGGTAAAAATAAAAGTGGGATATCGGATATTTAAACTAGAACAAGTTATACAGCTAATGAGTTTCATTTCCCGCAGTAAATAATTCAGAACGGGCAGCAATATGGTTAAAATCTCATCTTAGCCATCCAGATGTATTTCGTTTGAGTGACGTCATTCGGAACGTTACCAAGGTATTCAACCATATTGATATGAATGAGTTCAAATTGTGAATCACTTATATTCGTGTATTTAAACAGCCTAGTAACGTGCTGCATAACGTCCAACTTATAGCCATCATCTGAAAAGTTGACAGTCTACGTGTATCTGTGGGTAGTATTATTAAAAAATGGAATTTATCTGAAAAAGTGTGATGTAATTGTGAAATACATTTAGAACAATCTGATCATACATCTATTTGTCAGTTCAGTTTATATAGAAATGAAGAAGAGGAAGGTGGAATAAAATAATGGGGGATCTAAGTATCGGAAGAAAAATTGAAACTATTCCTGGCAATATAATCAGATAAGCATTGAGATGTATGCCGCATTAGTATTAAGAGCTTAACCGAACAACTTAAAATGAAGATATGAATCAGTTAAAATGGTGGTGAAGCCACACAGAATCAGCTTTGTCACTGACGTTTTATCTTGATCCTTATCAGATATATATAATTGCTAGTATTAAACTGTTACAATTCAATGTTTACGTCAGCTGTTATTACATATTGTGTTATCGGCCTACTTTGGAAATGTATACACCTGTTTTACTTTTAAAAACTTATTTATTATGCCATAGGTTATTTTAAAATAAACATTTCTAGCGTATGTGTTTATCATCCTCTAGTGCCAATCGAAACAACATGTATTTCCAACTACAATATGCTGTGCTTCGGCGTTTAAATAAAGTTTATTTATAAGCATCTGAAGATTGTAATATACATTAAATTGAAGAGGATCAGAAAAAACAGGTGTAATGACAGAAGATAAGAAACTTCATAACGGAATGCTTATTTAGAATTTAGTATCTCTATACAGCGAAATTATGCACACTTTATCTTCAATGCACCATTTGCACAGATCTTCCATGTTGTGCTACTACTTCTGCCCTTCATATATGTGTTTCATTGTCTTCTGTTCGTGTCTCCCATGTTTTGAAAACATTTATTTCCCAATACGAATTTAAAACAAGCAACAAAGGTCAATAAAGCAGGATTTAATGAATTCATCAAATTTCGGTAGAACTCGTCAGCTGAATACTCTACATGCACGGATATATATATATATATATATATACTTTTGACATTACATTGGGAGTGATAAACAAAAAGCTACATTGAATAAGCCATTCAGATAGACAGGTGCGAATGTTTTCCAGGTCATGTTCAAATAGATGAGGGGAGAGGGGGTATGAGAGATTAAAATTAAGATAAAATGCATTACGTTTCAATTGCATTACTTAGATAAACAATAATTCGTTAGAGAATATAACAAGAATCGCAAACAGAGTGATATCAATACTGATAGTTATAATAATAATAACAATAATTATAATGCTGAAGCGAGATAAGATAATGCCACTGATAAAAGATAGTTTTGAATGAATCAAAAATAATAATAACAGGTAGAATAATAAGTGAAACGTATTACCGTGGTAGGTTCAGAGTGACGACCATCTCCTTGTGTATACAGAGACCTGGTTTATAAACTCGAATTACACAAGCCTCTGCAATTGCGAGCATCCTCCTGTTTCTTTGTCTGCTGACAATAGTGAATGACTTGACAGCGTCGATATCATGTCCATAGTCCACAAGATGTTTTGTTATTGAGGTTTTTGGCACTTTGCATTCAGCTGTTTTCAACCAATTTGACAAATGCTCTATCATGCGAGTAGACAATCGCCTTTCTGTACGACCTATGTGTTTGCCTCGACAAATACACTCAAATTGATATACGCAGTTCGAAGTGTCGAGGATTAGTGACTGGTCTTTCCCAGATTGTTGAAGCACTCGCTTAGTGATGTTAAGGAAAACAAGTTTTGCAGCATAATAAGTTCTATTGATAGCTTTATCGAGTAACGCCAAATAATTTGCTTTCTCTGACATCAAATCTATCTCCTTGCTATTTGATGTTTTTATGCCAATGAATGTCTCTTTATATACTACTGATAAATCATATCATAGCACACGTCACACGGCTGTGTATTAACTTAGAGAAGTGAGTTTGCTTACACTTAACTATTGGAATTAGAAAGTAAAGTACAAACAGCGACGCTAGATTACATTTAACTTATGTACAATTATAAAGTTTACACCAGTAACAAAGATATGGTACTCTAAATCAACGTTATACTAGGTGATGTTAAGCCTAGCCAACAATTATATACCACTACAAGCATTTCTATACAAGTCATTTAAAATCTTTAAATAAAAATTTTCAAGTATACAAAAACTTGGTTCGATATACAAATATACCTGCTGGCTGTTGCACGGTTCAGCTAATCGCCTGCATATAGCTAACAATGAAACAACATTCTGATTCATTTTTATTCGAGTTTGAACAAATGGAGACTGAAGGTTTCCTAGTTGTTCCAATGGCTTATCCAGACCTAATGCACCTACTAATCCAGGTGCACCAGATTCACATGCTCGCAATAATTCTGAAAATGATGCGGAACTATCCAAATCTTGACTGCTACACCATGGACCATAGACAACAGCAAGTAGATTTCGAAGAAAATCAAACTGTACACTGATTGGTTGAGGCACCCGAAAGCTTAAAACAAGAAGAAAAAGGAATTGGAAACAATTGATCTGTACAACTTCACAAACAATGAATAGGTCACTTTCAATAGCTTAAATAATCACCGCTTACCCAAGTATAACTACAGCCTCTATTAGAATTCCTCTCTCCAAATTACCACAACTTTTTCCCATCCAAAGTTTGTTTATTTCTGTCAGTATTATATCGAAATAGGGCTACAAAAACAAAAAACAACACCTTTTTAACGACAGCCACAGAAAAGATGATACATAAAGTAAACATTATAAAAAATAACCAATGTTTGACTGTTTATATGATCTATATGTAGATGACACATTTATCATCATTAAGAAAACTGGAAAAGAAAACTTCCTAACACAGATTAATTTAATCTCGAAATATATAGAGTTTACTAATGAAGTAGAATCGGACGAGGGAACTCTACACTTTCTTGATTGTCTTGTAAAAAGACAAACTGACGAGAAACTAAAGTTCACAATATACAGGAAACCAACACATTCAAACAAGTATTTGAATTTTCAATCAGATCATCCAATAAGAAAGAAAGTTTCAGTCGCTTTAAATCTCGTTAACAAAGCAAGAAACATTATAACAGATAATGATGATATGGAGAACGAGGTATCCAATATAAAACAAGTGTTGGTTGGAAATGGTTATCTGAAAAAGCTACTAAATAATATTATCAATAAAAAGGAGCAGAAGGGAAAACAAAAAATTGAAAAATCTCGCCTATCGACGATAGCCATTCCATATAGAAAGGACACACAGCTGAACAACTTCAAAGACTACTTGCTTCATATAATATTAAAGTCCGTTTCAAGCCCTGTAATTCTCTAGAGAAAGCTTTGGTGAATGTCAGAGATATGGTTCCCAAAATGTCACAAAAAATTGTGTTTACAGGATAAATTGTTCACAATGTGAAGCTTGCTATATAGGGGAAAGCAGTAGACAGATGAAGGTCAGAGTGAATGAACATAGACTGTGAGCGAAACGTCCACCTAGAAATGAAGTAAAATTAAAAAGTCTAGGAAAAAGATCAGCTGTAGCAATGTATGCTATAGACAGAGCACATAAGATTGATTTGGACGTTGTCAAAATTCTACGAAGAGGATTTCATTCACATAAAGAAAGCTTTGAACATTTTAACCACATCGAATGCCGTAAATAGGATAGAAAGGATAAACTTATTATCTATAATTTCAACAGTTGGTTTGTAAGGAGTGGATTTGTTTTTACGAGTTAATTACGGATTGATATCAGTTAGAGAACCATTGAAAACCGGAGAGTACTGGACAGCTGTTTCATACTAGTTTGGGAATCCTAGGGAGTACGCACCCACCACCATGGTTCGAACCCAGGACCTTCCGGCTACAAGACAAGCTTGTATACCATTCAGCCACTGGGACCCGATTCGATGGCCCATGAATTCTAACTTCTACCAATTCATGATTTAGCGCGACCATCATATGTGTCAAACTCTAATGGAACAAGACAAATAAGAAAACAACAAAAACCTCTGTGACCTCTATAAAAATATTATCATGTTTATCCCATGTGAATTGGCGTCTCTTCCATGTGACAAATAATATATGCTCACACACACACACAGACAAATATGCACATATGACAATTTGACATCAGCCATTACAAATATCTGATGACCATTTATATTTTTCTATTGGTACAAATGCCTACCAACTGACTTCAATATATGTAATTTTTCGAGTATATATTTTGATGGTTAATAAAATCTGAATAATCCTGATGAAGAAGCTGTGGCCTACACAGCGAAACTTTCAGGAGAATTTCGTCAAACACGCTGGGATTATTTTAAATAATTTATAACGAAAGTTTGTACGATCTGTTCACTACACCATTATTTCAACCAACTGACAGACTATTAATTGGCATCAGTTATCAGTTTAATAATCACTAAATTCCTAAGAACAAAAAACATTTAGTGTGCTGAATTCCTAATTTTACAGAAATAATTGAAATCACACAGTGTAATATACGAAACAAAGCATTAACCCATTTTATTCAGATAACAGACAAACAGCAACAAAAACGCGCACAGCACATCAGGAAAGTATTTTAGGGCAGGGAATCCAAACAAAACTTATAACTTAACCATAAAATGCTTTATTATGAATATTGAAAAGAGAGCAGGTGAATTTAACAAGACCTGAGGAGGCTAGTTGACTTTGGTTACAGACGTTTGTGTTCTACCTGTCGTATTAGTCGGTATAATATGTTGGATGATATGGAGGTTAGGTGTAATGTTAAGTATGTAGAGCAAGTCAATCAATGAGGTTGTTATGCTGCATAGATCGAAATCACTAGGATATGTGCATACTAAGATGCCGCCTTCCTTGTCGAACAATATAGGGTGATGTAGGACTAGTTTTGAAAAGCACAGGATCAATTCATAAAGTCTTTGATTTCTGGTTTGAGCGACGTAGGGAGGTGTTGTAGACTATCTGGTTGGGATCCTCAGGATACTAAGAATCAATGGCTTGAGACTTTTCAGTAGTGCAGATGAATCTACTTTTTGTAATTTCTCAGATCCATTACACCATCATGATTTAGCATATTACTATTCTTTGTCCCGTACACATCTACTCATTATAGGATTTTGAATTTATTTCTTTTCTCTAACTTGGTATGTTACACAACATGCAGTGTGCAGAACTGAACAGTTGCACTTCTGTGCAAAGTTCTACATTAAAACTCAGTCAGTCAGATGAACTTTACAACCGGTTTCTTTATTTTTAGTACATAACAACTTACCATCAATCGAACAGGATTAGCACGAGTGAAACGAAGTAATGCTGTTGCTGACGCTAGATGCATTGTTTTAACTTGTTTTGGTCGATCTATACTGCAAAATGAATCCAGAGAAGATGAAGACTCATCCACTAAAGGACAAGAATTCAATGATTCAAAAACCTAAAAGAAAATTTCAGAGAAAGATTTAGTGGAAAATTTTGAATTATACAATGTGATTGTGAAAATGGATCTTACTAATCGCGTTCTAAAAGACTAGGAAAAAATTTACATACTAGTAAAACTGTAGATTTTGTTTATAAATCAAGGTTTTATCTAGTAGTCTTAATATAAATGTTGTTGCCACCCTATTCACCAGACCAAAAATTAAGCGTACAATCAGGCAAGTTCATCGTCGAATTTCTGAACACCTCCCCTCTTGCTTTGGCAAAGGTCTGAATAAAGAAAGCTATACGCAGCCTCAATACTAGCTCATTTAGTCGGTAGTGGACATCAATTCGACTCTAACAAAGCTTTTAAAGTTATTTGTCGTATTTCACCCAACCTCTCGCATGATCTACCAGTAAGACTTTAAATACAGCAGAAGCAATCACAATTCATCTGAACAAGAAAAATCTGTGTGTTCAAAAGGAAATTTGTACAACCTCTTTCTTTGCCATGGCCAACTACTTGATATGTATTAAGTTTTTATGAACGACTTTTCTCCTCTCTTTGAAACTAACTTTTGACTTTGTTATTTTATTATGTTTACAATTCTAGATAATTCTATTAACTTGATTGCATTTTACGTGATTCTTCTGAGTCATTCTATTCTTCTTAGTCATCTTGAGTTCACAAATTCCTTGATTATGCAATAACTTGTTGCTAACGCCTATGAATTAACTTATCTTGAATTCGGTAATTAATTATCACTCCTTCTTCAAAATTTAGATATCTTGTTACTAGCACCCATTGGTTAATTGTTTTGATGACTTTTAACCTCATAATTTCACACACCCCCAATACCTAAAACTGATTAACTGAAATAATCACTTAATCGGTAAAAGATGTTGATGCATAAAATTATATACTTGTGTAGACTGGCTGGCTGGTTTCAACATAGAACTTTACACCAATGTGCAGCAGTTCGAGTCACCACATTATGGGTAAATTTTTTTTTGATAAAGTCTCACAGTGTTATACAGTGATGTTTACTGATGACGTTTCGAGCACAATTTATTGCTCATAATCATACCAAGGTAATCACACGACTTCCTAAGTTATTCACTTATATAGTTCTGTCGTTTTTCACTTGATTTTCACTAGATTTGATTGGTAGTAGTATTTTCCATATTCCGGGTATGAGTGATGAATCATTCCTATTGCATGTGTTGGGTGTAGACTCAATGAACAAGGATTCAGTAATCAACCCTCTCCCACCCTATTGTGTGGTTGTGTGTTAATGTGTGCAGTGCAATTGCTGAGCTTTTTTCTAAATTACTTATCTTCTCAGGGTCAACCATTCTTACCTTAGCTAAATTCTTATGTTCTGACAATCTGACTACCCCTCACCTACTAGTTTGACCTATGTAGTTGACCTCACAGTCATTGCAGGGTATTTTGTAAATTATATTATTTTGTCTAATTGGGTCAACTGGATCCTTTAACCTACAGAGCTTGTCCCTGAGTGAGTTTCTAGGTTTAAGTGCCACCCTAATTCCTGCTTTATTTAGAACCCTACGTAGAGTCTCAGATGTCCCCTCTTTATATGGTATAACTGTAGATGACTTATATTCTCTCTTATTTATGTTATTATTACTAATAAGGTAAACTACACACTAGTGTTTATAGAAAACCAACGCATTCTAATAGATATTTAAACTTTAATGCATCTCATCCGTTAACTGTTAAGGCAGGCTTAGTTAAGTGTTTAACAAACCGAGCAATGGCGCTAAGTAGCACAAAAAAGACCTAAATGATGAAATAAAACAGATAGAAGAGGCGTTGGTGTTAAATAGCTATCCATTAAAATTAATCAGGAAGATTGAAAAAGGCCAAAAGAAAAAGAATTGTGAAATTAGTAATAATAACATAAATAGGAGAGAATATAAGTCATCTACAGTTATACCATATAAAGAGGGGACATCTGAGACTCTACGTAGGGTTCTAAATAAAGCAGGAATTAGGATGGCATTTAAACCTACAAACTCACTCAGGGACAAGCTCTGTAGGTTAAAGGACCCAGTTGACCCAATTAGACAAAATAATATAATTTACAAAATACCCTGCAATGACTGTGAGGTCAACTACATAGGTCAAACTAGTAGGTGAGGGGTAGTCAGATTGTCAGAACATAAGAATTTAGCTAAGGTAAGAATGGTTGACCCTGAGAAGATAAGTAATTTAGAAAAAAGCTCAGCAATTGCAATGCATGCATTACCCATAATGGAATTACACTCTACCACAGTGCAAAAGTTTTACTCTTATATCGAGTCGCCACACTTCACCCAGCACACACAACCAGAGAAGAAACTAAAAGCAAATGCAAAATAGAGACAGTAAACAGAGATATGGAACAAAAAGAAGGAGAATATCGAAGAACAATATTGTTTTATTGGGTATTATAATTCAGAAGGAGTGGATGCATCTGCACCGGCCATTGAGAACGATTTTGAGCCATTTCACCAATTGTCGCCAACCTGCATTGGTTTTTACCGTCCCTAGGACCCAAACCAGGAAGTCTACATCTTCCTACGTGGCTTAAACTAACTGTTGTGAATTTCCTCTTCTCTCATTTTCCTGTCTACCTTTGTGTGCTATTTGGAACGTGGCAACTCGAACTGCTGCACTTCGGTGCCAAGTTCTATGTTGAATCCAGCAGCAGCAGCAGCAGCAGTTGTGAATTTCATTGACTGATGAAGCCATGTTCTGGTTTGAACACCACTGGCTCTTTTCCAACCTGACCCTATGTCAGCTAATATAAGTGTAGAGCCGATGATGAGGAACTAATTGAAAAGGAGTATATTTTCTTAGCTTACTCTATTTTTTTTCTAAATGCATAAATGGGAATTTAGAAATTAATCAAATAGAAAGTGTTTGATCTCAACAAAAGAATATTCCAGAATGCATTAACTTGTGCACAGAAGAATTATGGTCTCAATTTGTACAACTACTAAGACAATTTTACAAATAAACTGGAATCATTGAGATAATTACCTTTTATTAACCGTCTGGAACTGAGATGAAGATTACTTCAACTTTTTTTTCAACAGTCTGGGGGCTTTCTTTCATTTCAAAAATTTTAATACTGTGTGAACTTAGTTACCATCTTGTCATATCTGAGCCGCTAACTAATATAACGATAACAAACTCGACTGGTAAGCTAATATGCCTATTTCTCCGGTGTACCTTCCGATTTACTGAACCACGTAAATATCAAAAGACAAAGGCTGGCCTGTGATTGTAAGATACTGTAGTGCACATTTATTAGGAAACAAAACATCATATTTATACATTTCTTTACTACAGTAAAGTCCGCTCACAGCTGTAGGAGTGGATTGTTCTTATTGGTTGGCAATTGCTATTCTCATTGGTTGGCGTTCCGACAAAGACCAAGATGAGATAAAAAATGATGAATTGACCACACACTAAATCACAATATGCGTGAGAAATGATAGATCCACATAGTAACTCCATCACAAGATAAATCACACGATTCGTGAAAAAGGATGATATACTGTTTTATGCTGGGTCCAATCACATCCGGTAGCTGATCCACGAACATAATGCAAAGAATTATTCGTGGTCAGTATACTTTAACCGTAGTCACTGAATTCACTGCACACAACGCGCATATGCGAATTTAATGGAGTTGCTGATATGCTGGGCTATAAGCGTGCAACTGAGACCAAAAGTCTCTTGCTAAATGAGTGCGTCGGTGGCATAGCGGTTAGGACGCTCGCCGACCATTCACATGGTCCGGGGTTCGACCCCCGGCTGACGCACTCCTTTACTTCGCTAAGACGGAAATAATGCAGGTGAAGAGGAAAGATTGAGCATGAGGCTAGCAACCCCATCCTGTAAAATAAACACTGCTACAGAAACTTCAAGTCACTAGCTTGAAGCCCTATGTTCCACTGGGGAACGTGAAGGAAAAAAATGACTTTTAGTAACTACTACACCAAAATTATCCGGTGTGTAAACAAGAAGTCACAAACCTAATGATAACTGCTGCTGCTCACTGTGAAAAATACCCGGAAAATCCGTCTTAATAAACTTGAAACTTTTGATAGCATTATTAGAAGACGGAGATTATCTGAAAAATGTGATGTATTTGCGCTATACATTTCGAACAATCTGCTCACACATTTACTTGTCAAGTCAATATATGTGGAAAAGTTAAATTAAACAAAGTGACAAAAAAAGGAATTAAGAATATTTAACACAAAAGTTTGGTAATCCAATCAAATAAGGATTACCAAGGTAGGTTAAGAGTAATAACAAACTGTTTTTAAATACACAGGGGGGGCTTAAGTTTATGAATGGCTATAGCCTCAGCGTATTTCAGTAAACGTCCTTGACCGTTTTTATAGGTGACCTTAAAGGCTGAGTTAACATCAACCTTATGGTTCATCTCGATTAAATGTTTAGCTATAGACGAAGTTGGTAGTCTGACACCTGCATCTATTGGCTTGTCACAATTCATCTGTTTTTCTAACCACTTTGGGATCACATTTTTCAGATAATCTCCGTCTTCTAATAATGCTATCAAAATTTATAAAAGGGACTAACTGTTTTAAACTTGAAACTTTTATTATTTAATTCAATTCAGATTTTACCGTCGATCGATTGCACCGAAGTGCTCGGTCTCAGGTTGACATGTCGGCTCCTTGTGTAGATGCTTCGACGATGTTTGATCCTCTTACTTGAAGTCAATTGGTTGATGGTGACTAGCAGTGGATACGCATTTCGCCCTACTTGGGACCCGTTGCACAAGAGTTGGATAAAGCTTTGGCGTTTGAGACTATGGACACTGGGTTCGAGACTCGGTGGGAACATCATTACTCATTGGGGAACGCAGGTCCATGCAACTGACGAGTTACAAGTAGGACGAAATGCACATCCTAGATTCCACTGCTAGTCACCATCAACCAATTAACTTGAAACTTTCATGTTGTATACACCTATCGACGGGACAACACAACACTCAGATTATTCAATAGTGGTAAAACATCGTCAATAATTTATTTACACTAGCAATAAATCGTGAATGTGAAAATACTCCGAGTATGAATTACGCCTTAACGGACAGAAAAAAGTGCCGATTTATACAATAGTTTGTAAGCTATATACTTCTTTAATAAAAATTTACCTATACTGCATACCTGATTCAGCTTAGTTGGTAATAAAGTGGTTGTTAAGATTCTGACTTTTAAGTGGTTAATTAAGCCATTAATTCATAGACTAAGATGTAACAGAAAAGCTTTTTAAAAAAACGAAACAACAGTACTAGTAAATGTTACCTTGTTTAAAAATAGAACCACAAGATCCGAATCATTATTTGAATCAGTGTGTTGCAACAGAATTGACATGCAACCAAGATGTTTAGCTCTCATAAGCGGATCAGTCGTGCTTGAACATTGTAAAATCTTATGAATTAAATTTTTAACTTTTGAATTTAAATCTGCATCTAAATGACGAGCTTTAAATGATTGTTCAACAGCTGATAAACATGCATCTAAAAATGAGTCTATAGCTTCCCATTCAAGTATTAAAGGTGATGTAGGCGATAAAAACTTATTCGTTTCATCATAATCTGAAAATTAATAATATAAGGGAGAGAAAGTAAGAATGAGTTAACAAAAATGGAATTCAATAACAAAAAATTCATAAGCTGAATGGAAGGAACTATTAATATCTATAAGGTATATATATCGACTGTGGTACTCAGTCAAAAAGAGACTTCACAAATGATAATGTAGTATTTATTCATAAGTAAAAACACAGTTTTTGTTCAGCGAAGAAATTTCTTTTCAACGACTTCATTTTCAAGCTGTACAGTCGTATTTATATTACAGAAAAGGTCATTAAAAGGTCATTTTTAAAACATTTTTGATTTCAATTCACTTATAAAACAATCTTTAATAATTTTGTAATTTATCCACTTCAACTCTACCCCTTATAACATTTAAATAATCGTTATTCTTATCACATATATGTATATTGACTGAGCAATTATTTAGTGCCACTTAATGACCTTTTCTGTAATATAAATACGACTGTACAGCTTGAAAATGAAGTCGTTGAAAAGAAATTTCTTCGCTGAACAAAAACTGTGTTTTTACTTATGGATAATGTAGTAGCCGATAGACATAGTTAGGCATAATGCTTCGAGATAAATTAGTTCAACATACCCTGAGCAGTTGGAGACACCTGAATCAATGTTTCTATCCAAGATATACACAAAGGTAAAAACGTTTCTGGCCAGCAAGACGCACCACTCGATAAACACTTCACCAAACCATTTCTGTAACCTAAATAGAAATGTAAGCAAAAATTTAAAGTTAAATTTTATCGTCATCTGGAGAGTAAGCATACGTCTAACATAAAAACGAAAACCGAAAATAAATTTTTTTTGACAATAAAGATGATGTGTACACAAAACCCTATTGCCTATTTACACGTGTTACATATTAACAGCTGAAGGTATGCTGTAGCTCCAGATCTTTTCAGTGTTTTTTTCATTGTGAAAAACAAATATATAAGAAACAGTAGTTTATACATTTATCAGATGTACCTATGAATGTAAGAGTGTGGAAAAAGAGCACAATAAACTAGTGGACTAAAACTAGAAAAATACGAAACATCACATGATAAATAGGATAAATGCAGTATACTGTGAGATAGAGTGGAAGTTCGTATATTCAGTGCAGTCAAGCGGAAAGGCAAAGAGCCGGGTTAGTGAATCCTTATTCATTAAACCGACAAGTGATAAATGAGACCGAAATGACTCAATACCTGTTGAGATTAGTTGAGAAATTTTGCTGGCATTAAAAAAATGAAAGGACGACAGTCTACAAGATAACGAAAGGAAGTTTAAAAGCGGTGTAATTACACCAATATATTTCTGAGCAATGAACCGTACTGAAAATATCGTCCAGTAGTGAGCTGAAGTGTATTTTTCCGAAAATTAATATGGCGGTTAATTTGCAGCCTAATATACATTCCTATTTTACACAGCACCCAGACTTAATTTGTGATAGTATTGTAAGGGTAGAATAAGGGTATTTGTTAACAGAATGATTCACTTGGTAAAACGATGTAACATTGATGGAGAAGTATAGAAACCTTACATTGAAACTTCAACTTGTACTCCCTTCTAGAAAAAAAAAGTTAAATAAGAGTAGGTGGTGAAAATGCATTAACGAACACATAAAAATAACTGACATGACTTATTGGAAACTGTTCACATCAGAAAGTAGTGTTCGCCCCACCTCTGTGTAGATTTACAGCAAAGGAATTTAGAAGAGTGTTAAGTCAGTATTTGTATCTTATTCATAAATTCGTCATAGTATCGCTTGTCTTTAAACTCACGAGCAAAAAAGCTAGAGTGATCATCAGATTCGAAAATTCTGCGATTCCATTCGCTTTGAATATCTGTTCCATATGGTTGACCAACCTAGAAAGGCGACGACAAAATATGATCATTATCGTAAATTACTAGGTGACTAGTGAAAATAAAAATGAAGTAAAAAAAGAACACCTTGTTTCCGTCTCTTTTGTATAAGCTTAGTATGGTTTGTTCCACTTTAATTCCTACACATCGCAGTGATACGGTATTCCGTATATTTCCTACTTATTGTTTTCCGTGGAATAAAAACATCGATCGGCTGTCGACGGTTGAAATTCAAGCTTCTAGATGTGATAGAATTTCTTAGGTAACTTATACACAGCTTTTTACTTTCTCAGCGTGTTAACTACCAGTACTAATACTTCCTGCTTTAAAAGAAACTTAGTTGGGTGGACAAAATAACAGTCATTTGTAGAATGAAATAGATCTTTAGTCATATTGCAGCATATGGTTTGCTTATTAAAATACTCACTTTTAATGAATTCCTTCGCCAAATAGTAAAGAGGTCGTTTGCAAACACCTTGGTCAAGTTAAGTAAAGGTACTTCATCTGAGCGAAAGATAGTAATCCAAAACTTATTTGAACACTCTGATATCACCTAGAATGACAAACGCAAAAGCAATAACAGACAACCTCATAGACAAAGGAAAATTACACAGGTAATGGGAACTAATGCATGTGTTGGTATGACAAGGTTTAAGCATGTAAGCTGAACTTTTAAATTAGTAACCAACAGAATGACTCCAAGTCGTCCACATGGTATTCTCAGTTTAGATATCACCGTAATAAAATGTATACAACTTAAGTTGCTTTGCAAAATCACTCCGAGGACGAATTAAATTTGGATAATACAGCAAACTTAGAGTACTCGCATTATGCCCGACAGCCGGATATCACATCTACGCCAGGGATGGAGTAGACGTGATATTCGGCTGCCTGCCAAAGGATGTGAATACTGCTCAGCATTCCCCTCCATCCTCCGTTATGACTGTGGAAGGTGGCCACTGAAAGTGGATGACATAAAAGGGCTAGGTGCCTGCGTTTTATCTATCATGTTAGGTGGTGTAATAGGGTCAGCAATACTGAGGTTAGGCATCGGTCGAGTGCTGGGTAAGGAGGGGAAATCAATCAACGAGGTTGTGGAGTTACACTGATTGAGATGGCTAGGATATGTGTTGCGCACGCCTAGCCATCACCTTTCTCGATGGACAGTGTCAGCTAAAATAGGACCAGGTTGGAAAAGAGTTGGTTAGTGGTGGTCAGACCAAAGCATGGCTTCATCAGTCAATGAAATTCATAACAGTTAGTTTAAGCCAGCCAATGATGTAGGGAGGTGTAGACTTCTTGGTTGGAGTCCTAGGGATGGTAAAAACTAATGGCTGGCGACAATCGGTGATATGACTCAAAATCGTTCTCAATGGCGCAGATGCTTTGACTCTGTAATTTATAATATACAATAAATTTCTAATGTTTTGCCATATTACTACTCTTTTTTCCTCGCACTTTTTGATTATCACTCTATCTTTAGAATCTCTCTTTACTCTCTTCTCCTGTTCTGTGTGCTACTCGAACTACTACGAATCTGTGAAAAGTTATATGTTGAAGCCAGTCAGGCAGTCAGAGTAGCATTATGAACACTAGACATAACCTTTATTTCGTTGTAACCACGGCCATACCAAGTATTGTGTAAATCGAGTTGAAGATTGAGATCTCGTCGTATCGATGAAACGGCGATTATAAAATAAAAGCTGGAGCGGATAGTATCACATCAGCTCTTTGAGAACAGTAATCTCAAAACTCTTAATTGATGAACTACCTCATTTAGATAATACAGAAAAGCATAATGTACTTTAAAACTGTCTTTTGACGTCTAATGACTTCGAATTGGAAAGGCTTTGATGAGAACGATCACTTTCAAAGAAACATTTACAACGGCCCAATTTTCAATATATATTTGTAATCGTTTTAAGATAACTTTACTTCATTATATATATATATATATATATATCACGTTATGCACCATAAAGATGAATGTAAGCTGTACAGATAGCTGCACGCAGAGCGATAGAAAGAGTCAACTGAATTTGTGCATTTATGACAATGTGTTACTTAAAACAAATGAAAACGGATAGTTCGTGTGATACTGCCACACACAGCAATAAAAGGACGAAAATAAGTTACTGTAAAAGCTTGAAATGAGGGTGATGTCTATTTGAATGCAATCATAATCAGTTCATTTCATTTATTATGACTTTAAGCGTTCCCTTTCATCAATCATTCTGAGACAGCGTGTTCCATTGTACCTATCAATGATGTGAGATTAATTACAGGTACCACATACACTTGTTATGCCAGCAGAATAACCACCATAAAGTTGTGTAAACATTATAGTTACTAATATTGAAGCATGTATAATAGTATACTAAAAACTCACGTGAATTGGATAAGCGGTCAGGCGAAGGATTGCCTGGAATATATGTGATGGTAAATTTGGGCACTCGCAAACACCACGATCGAAACAGTTGCATAAGGTATACTCATATGAATATTCCCTCCAATGGGTAATCAGATGACAACCAATATGAACCACAGCTTCACCAAGCAGTCTCAAAAAGTTGTGACGTTCATCAGAATATTCAGGATTCTCAGATAATGATGAACTAAAGGAAAAATTTCTGGCTTACTTCTTAGTAGACACAAAAAAACGATGCAGCTGAGAAATTGGCTTACCATAAAATCTTTATGAGATTATTACACGGAGAACTGGATCCTATAGTTTCTTTAAGGAAACTGTCTGCAATAGTTGGGCCAAATGAATCAGGAATTTCGGTCCCTGGTTGTATCCGTCTACATAACAAAACACTGATCACGGTTAAAGCATCAATTTGAACACTGCGAATCCCAACAAGCGTTGTGATCAAACTTAAGAAAGGTAGATTACGACTTAGATTGAGAGCTTTGATAGCTGCTTCTGGAGGGGTCCAAGAAGTCAAAGCATTCAAGCGACAAGATTCAAGAAATCCACTCATTGTGCACAAAGACTCTCGGCAAACTTCAAATGATTCACAATCCGTGAATTGATTCTAAATTTTGTTAGAAACAATTAAATCTAGGTACATACTGAATTAAGGGACAAAAGTTGCTCCACCATAACGTCAAGTGCAAATTTAAATATTTCGACCAAGTTGTCATTTAGACTGCTGACAATATCACGTCGTCGAGCTTGTGGGACATCTTGAAGTTGTACGACATCTTCATAGAGTCTTAAGAACGAGTTAAGGACTAACTTTGTCTGGGGAATCTAGGAGTAGCTGAAAATCTCATACGAAATAACATACCCCTATCTTTCCCAAAGACAAAAATTCAGGCAACATAGAAGGCCATTGCTGAGGCCACTCACATTTGATGAGGAAAACAATAATTTGACTCAGCATAAGATGAAAAGCTCGCGTTTCCTCTTTCGAGAAACGATAATTGTGTATCTACTTAAATTAGATAAAAACAGTATTTACTTCTCTTGAAAGCTGGAATATGTTCTGTTTTAGGTTAGACTTGATATGAATGTCAACAGAACTCCATTGATGTCTAAAGTTAAGATATATGTAAATTAATACTACTTTAGATAATAATCCAGACACTGAAGTCCAAAAAGCACAACAACAGATGGTTGACTTGGATTGCACAGAAAATCAACATCAGAAAACTGAAATTGCTTAGTTTTGTATTCTTCAGCGACCTTAATAATTACCAATTTAGAAAATTTCACAATACCAAGAAACATTCACTTCGTCTTTTATTGTCAATTGTAGGATCCAAAAGAGAGGAAACTGCCGCAAGAAGTGAGTCTTTGTCCATTTTACAATAAGTAAGTGACCTAAATCCAAAAGAAAAAAAAAGAATCACTCATACTATTTCGTTATTAACTGGTCTTAGAAAGAATGAGCAGTGTGGTGAGTGGAAAATGCATAGTTTGGAAGCTAAGATGGCAAACAAAACAAATAACAGATCCCAAAACAAAGCATTTAAAACTGAAGAAATGCGGTATCTTCAACGACAAACAGTACTCGTCCTTGTCAGTAAAGAAATCCAACTTACATAATGATTTGTGAAATATGCAGCTCGTTCCACATGTGATATAAAACAATAGTAACAACTGTCTTTAGAGAAGACCTAATCGTTGGCTACGAAGCACAATACAGTAAGTACAGTTGTATGGTTTCTGGGAAGGAAAAGCGGTACTACTGGTAGTCATTGAGAGAAGTCTTACTGTTGTTATATCCCCCCTACCCACTAGCAATACTTTGCTATCAGACCCTTAAAATAATGTAGACAACATAAATAGAGTCAGCTACTTCTATTCGAAACGCAGTGACGAGTATTGAGGAAAGAATATCCATAAGACTGTGAAACTCCATCGACTACGATGGCTACCACATTCATTGCTGAGCAGTGATGGCTAAATCAGGATTATTCTGGAAAGGATTTTCGGTAGTCAGACGAAATATGATACAAGCCTATGAAATTATTGACTGCCCGTTTGAGTAACGTTAGGATAAGTCGACTGCCATGCCGGGGTTCTAGCGACGTTGGGAATTAGTGGTTTGAGATTGTTAGTGGCGTGACTCAAAATCATTCTCAATGGCCGAAATGTATTTTTCTCTTGTCGTCTTCCAGATGTCGACAATCTTCACTAATATTCATCTAATTATTCTTCTTTCCGAAAACTTGTCTACTATAGTTTTTATATATTTTCTTTGATTTTGTTTAATATAGCAGCTTGAACTGCCGTACTTTGTTCAAAGTTCTACGTTTACAATTCATGTTCACTCAAGATATCCTGGTTACGACGAGGCTATGGAATACCAAACATGTAGTGAATAGCAGTATGTAATCGCAAATGGATGTGTAAGGATCTTAGTTGATGGATATTGGTACGACAATGACGCTCTTCAGTGTTAAGCATGTGGACAGCCAAGCGTCAGACAAATAAGGGTTTTCAAATACTTAATTACAATTATCCCCGAAGAGTGAACGAACTACAGATGATAACAGATCCCGATATCTAGTTAACTATATCGCAGAATTATTATTTCCCTACTACAAGTTCGTCACCCAAAAGCTATTGACGTTTCTTGTCTTTCACTTCACATAGACTTCATTTCTAATGAGAAACTACTGACAGAGTATTTGTTGGAGGAGGATTTTGTATATTTTGCATTCGGCAACTTCGTAGTCACACGTTTTTATGCACTCTGTAATGAAGTACGAGTAATGCATGAAGATTGGAGATACTCGCTTAGTGTTTATGCATCCATAAGATGAGGTTACCACATAAAATCTTTCACACAATCACATTTGTGAAAGCAGAAACAAATTAAAGAATTCGCCTGCAGTGAATTATCTTACCTATAAGCAATTTGTAATTTACAACAGAAAATATAGTCCTACAAACAGGTGTATCCTGTCAAACAGCGCATCGAAATCGATCGCAATATGCATTATTGTCTTGCAGTTTCCAAAAAAGGATACACAGAGGAGATTTGCACAACAGCTGAAAACCTTACTCATAATGACTTCTCAACCAACTGGTGTCTCTATCGGTTAATTTCAAGAAAAGAAACAATTAAAAGATAAGTGAGAATAAAGAGTACAGCTGCGCCAATGCGAACGATTCCCAGCCGTCACCAACAGTCTCCACCTACTGACTCCATGTATCTCGGTGAAACCAATCAGGCGATCTACACCCTCTACATGGCTGAAGTCAGTAATCAAAAACTTTATGGATTGTTTCCGGCATCAGTTTCCTTTCCAATCCAATACTAATTCAGCTAATATTGATTATTGAGCTAAGTGGTAGCTTGCCATGCATAACATATCCTTGGCATATCAACTGACGAGGCCCCATAAACTCGACAAAGTACTTCTTTAACTTAACATGTCATATCATGCTGTTTTACCTAGCATAATCAACTGAACTAAGATAACTAAGGTAAAAGGAATGTTATCTTTTCATGCCTTCCACTCTCAATGACCACTTCGCAAGTGTAGAGTAGCACAACAAACTGCTAAGAAGTACACAGTCTGCGAAGTATGGCCAATACCTATGTCCATAAAAAAAACTAAATAACAACGCTGATATTGCGGATCTTGAGGGATCGCCATACGTGAATTCTGAGTAATCTCCGGCACACCGGCTCAACCGACAACTCCAAAAGTTTTCGCCACTCCCTTCGTGGTCAGAAACTGTTACAATCCACTGGGCACAAAACACGGTTTACTAGTTGAGAAACATGGCTAGTCTTAGGTATATGTATGTTAACGTACCAGAAACTTGGTGGGTAAGATGAACAATGCATTCTTTTCCATGACCGATATCCCTACTCATTTTATGCGCGAATATAATTCCTGAAACCTTGGATGCCATAATAATCACATTCATCATACCATAGTTATCAAAACGAGACTTATTTCCTCCTCTCCAGACTATCTTTAGAATTAAAGATCCGTTTAGAGAATGCACAAGAATAATGGAATGAATGAACACTAAGTGGGTGAGGCGTGGACAAACCTTCCAGGAATTACATAACTATTTTTCACTTTTCCCCCATGTTTTTTACCAAGCTAGTCCTCCACCGTTTCCTGTTTACGGAAAAACTTCCTGATAATATATGTTCGGAAAATATACAGTATGGGCGTCAGTTTTAGTAAACACAAACCTGACATTAAGACAAAAAATGATATGAAACTCCTCATAAATCCACCACAAATACTTGGCAGTAAATGCTAGCATGGGTAAACATGGCACCTAAGCAGCTTAAAAAAGAAAAACTTCCAGCTCCCACAACTCTGTACTCTAGTACAACTATTATAGTACTAATAGTACTTCCGTGACCGAAGCAACAACTTTAGATCAACTATTTATTCACTTAGTTTTAGAGCAAAAGAAAATCAGGAGAAAAACAACAGGAGAAGCAAGCTGCATATTCGTACTAATATCCTGAGGGGAAACAGGTTGCTTTGTAACGCAGTATTTTGAAATCTAATATCAGATTTCGAACATCCAATATCCAATATCGTTTTACGAGCTTGTATAAACCAATTTGATTTCTTTGTGCTCGCCTCTTGATTTTGAGGTAGAGGTTCCTGATCTTTGGTAAACGTCTGTGTAGCTCGTCCCGCCACTCGACTGTCGTAGCTTTGGTTGACTCCAACAGGAGTAGTGCTGGCTTTAATTATATGGGGTTTGTAGTATGAAGTGTGTTGAGACTGTTACTACTGTGAATGGAGTTGATCCTTTCACCAGTTGGTCCTTCGGTATCGTCGTCAACAGAAAAGAGATAATAATAATGGATATAATTAGTGAAAGGTATTCAGACTAACAGACAGAAAAAGAATAAGAAAACGTAACAACAGTCAGTCAGTATATATATATATATATACCAGTAATAATGATAATAATAATAGGTGTAGTTAAAGCTGTCAGGAAAGTAAGACTGAAGAGAATGTAAAGAAGTAAAACGACCAGTTTAATTGTCTACCTTTGAATGGTGTATGCGATTTTAAGGGGATAGGCCGTTTGGATGAAGTCCTTGTGTCGCTGCATGGTTGTCCAACCTTCGCTTAAAGGCGTCCACAGATGGTGCCATAGCTACATCTGCCGGTAAGGAATTCCAGGGACGGCAAACCCGCAGGGAAAAGAAGTGGGAGCGCACCCGGCTCCTTGCCCTCTGATGAGCTATCCTTCTAGGATTTCCACGAGGGAGTCTATACCTACTCAATGGCAGAATCCCTTTGTTTGGGTGATTCTGATCATTCGTTATTTTGTGGGCAGTAATTAAATCCCCCCTAAGACGACGGTAACTAAGTGTGAATAGGCCTAATTTCTTCAGCCTTTCATCGTATGGTTTATTTTGGAGACCAACCACTCCTTTTGTTGCCCGTCGCTGGACTCTTTCCAAGAGGTTGGAGTCTCTTCTAAGCAGTGGGGGTGCAATGATATTATGCACTTCAAGATGTGGTCTGACGTATGTTTTATACAACCTTAGAAAGAGCTCAGGAGTGAGTGCACCTAATTGTCTATGTGTAAAGTGTATGACCGCATATGCCCTCGCTACATCCCCGTGTAATTTACGCTTATGTCCATTTTCTCCGTTAGAACTAGACCTAAGTCACGTTCCGACGTTGAGTCGGACAAGCTTTCATTGCACAGGGTGTAACTTGCATTCTGCAGTTTACAGGTGCGTAACTTCACTACTTTGCACTTTTTCAGGTTGAAAGTCATGCCACTGGCCACCGCCCAGTATTCCAGAAGCCTTAGATCTGCCTGCAGTCTATCTGAGTCCTCCGGACACTTTATCGCCCTCCATATCTTCACGTCATCAGAGTATAGAAGAGTCTGGCAGCTTAGACGGCATGGTAGATCACTGATAAAAATCAAGAACATCAGTGGTCTCAGGATAGAACCCTGCGACACTCTTGATGACGAGCTGTGCCGAGATGATCGGACTCGATTGACCTTGGTGCAAAATTGCCTTTCAGTTAGGTAGTCCTTCAACCATGACAGAAGTGGTTTACCTAAACCTACCTGGCTTATTTTGTGTAGGAGAAGGTCGTGGTGAACAGTGTCAAATGCTTTCTCAAAGTCTAGAAAGATCAGATGAACTGGAACATTCATATCCCAGCATAATGTCCAGCCCTCCCAAGCTGATAATAAGTTGGTGACACAGGATCTCCCTTTCCTGAAACCGTGTTGGGCTTCATGGAGTATTTTGGACCTATCCAGATATTCCCTGATGTGATCATCAATAATACTTTCCAGTACTTTAATACCACTGGGAGTAGAGCTACTGGTCTAT